GAGAAAGGAGACAGCTTCCCCTTAGAAACCCCTTCCCCAAACCCAGACAGAATTAACCACACCTTCCTCTGTTCTGTGCACCTGCCTCTGTTCCTCTTTATAACCAGAGGCAGTTTTTGGGTTTTTTTCGGTTTTTTTTGCTGAGGAAGATTCACCCTGAGCTAACATCTGTGCCAATCTTCTTCTATTTTGTATGTGGGTTGCTGACACAGCATGGCCACCGACAAGTGGTGTAGGTCCACACCCGGCAACCGAACCCAGGCCACTGAAGCGGAGCACACTGAACTTAACCCCTAGCCCACTAGGCTGGCCCCCAGAGACAGTTCTGAGTCAAGCACCTCCTACATGCCCAGCACTGGGCTAGGTGCCTTTTCACTGATCCACACAGTACAGAGGGATGCGGGCTGGAGAGAGGTATTACTACCACCGTTCTACCCCTAACAAGCTCTGAGGGGCTCACCCATGTGTCCAGGGCTTTGAACCCAAGTCTTCTTCCCTTTACCCCACCCTGTACTTCGTCAGCTCATAGCCCTTTGTTCACAAGCCTGTCTCCCACCTCAATTTTTAAACCCTCTGTTAGAGTCACCATGACCTGTTTAACTTTGCTCTGACACAAAAATATTTCCATAATTCAAGTACAGAATTAAATTTGTGATTAACATGGAAACTTATTAGAAATCTCATCACGGAGAGTATTCTGTGTTTTCTGATTCTGTATTTGTCTATTTGGCATCCATTTATCACAGGGCCAGTTGTATTAACTATATTTCCTTATTTTCTGTACTCTTGATGCTCCAGCATTCGTGACTGCCTTTCCCAGGGCTACCTGGTTCTTCAAGACAGCAAAGTAGCATGCACTCTGGGATACTCCTGGCAGTATTGTTTACAGTAACCCCAGATTAGCAACAACCTGAATGTCCAACAATAGGGGATCTGTCCAGCAAATTTGGATACAGCAGCTGAATAGATTATTGGGCAATCCTTCAAAAACCATGCTTTCAATCACTACTCAATGACCTTAGAAATATTCCAGAAACAAGGTTAAGTGAAACAACCAAAATACAAAACTTTATGTACAATATGATCACAAATGTGTAATATCAGAAAAAGTCAGGAAGGAAATATACTGAAATATGAACAAAGGTTTTCTCTGCATAATGGAGTGAGTGATTTTTAAAAAACAAATCTCCTAAGTGAATTGCATTCCTTTTAAAGTTCTCTACCTCTCTGTTTTTATGTATTTTAATGAGCATTTCTTTTCTTTTGATCACACATTCTCCTGCATGTGTGGAGGGCCCGCCTGTTTCTGCCAGTGATAAACCCTGGATCTATCTGTTAGCCAAAGCTGTACCGTGGTACTTTCTTGTTAGAAAAATACAAAATTCCAAAACCAAAAACAGCTCTTGCCTTGTAGGAGAAGGAAGCCTCGCTGGCAGAGTCGGCGCTGCTCGTGGGCGGGAGCTGCTGCAGCTGCAGGGCAGCACCGAGGGCTCCGTCCATGATGGTCTAATGGCACATCCCACCGGGCCGGGAGCGGGAGCGGGAGCGGGAGCTGCTGCTAAGCGGGATGGAAGCTGGAAGCCATCCTTCCTTGTGGCGTTCACCTCCTTCCAGCAGCCATGTCCTTCTCACGCGGAAGGAGTGCTTCAAGGCTCCTCTGGCTGGTTTACAGCCTTTTCCTCATCTTCACTCAGAGAAGTGCCAACTTCTGTCCTTCCCAAGCAGACAGACAACGGTGTGTTTCCGGCTTCTTGAGGGGCTCTGGGTGATGGGAAGGAACATTAAAAATGCATGCACAATGAAACGCTGAGCCCATCTTTGTTACCTGAGAAGACAGTACTATTAGGACAAAACACAGCTGCCAGGAGAAGGGAGGCCATTAAAAAAATTATATCATGCCTTTTGGCCCTTAATAAAGATAAGGCTCATCTATCTCAAAACTTATTTCCCAGCCCTTAAAAATCCCCTTTCCTCTCCGCCTTTGCTTCCTCCCACCCATCATATCCTAATTTAAATACGACTTTTTTCCATGGCTCCTCTACATAAGAAGTAGAATGCTGCCTACATCTCCTTCTCCAGGACTCCAAATAAAAAAATCCCACTGCCGTGCAAAGGGAACCACCTGGGTTCCAACATAGGAAAGAAAGAATGAGAAGAAAAGTTGTCTCCACGGCAGATGGAAGAACTGGGCTGCTACCGGGATCAGCCTAGCACAGGCAAGGTAGCGCTGGACTGGGAGAGGGAGGACATCTGTGTGCCCAGATCACTTCACCTCTGGGAGACTCAGTTGCCTCACCTGTAAAGTGGGGGCAATCATGCGGCTTCAAGTAAAACCAGCAATGACGGGAATTCCTGTTAACTTCATTGGACTGATATTTTCAGTGCATGTCAAACTTTTCTACCAAATAGAGAAAAAAAGAGAAAGAATGCCCCTCGTGTTCTGGGAGGCACAGCCAAAACATCCCACCACAAGTGCTAAGGGCTTCCTGGAGGTCTTCTTATATTTAAAAAAAGAAATCATACAGATTTGGTTTGTACTGCAAAGTCTATGTTTCTTTTAAAATAAAAATACTTTAAATTCATTTTGACCTGTCATGTGTTACCTGTTTTGCCTTGGCCAAGTCATTGAACTTTTCAGCCAGTTTCCTCTGCTGTAAAACACAGATTCCTCTCTCACAGGACTGTCGTGAGAATTTAATGCAACAATGTGTATAAAATGCATGCACAGAGAATGGTCAATGAATGGCAGCTATTATTAGTATTAATTTTATTCCTACCAGTTTAATTATTTAATTTACCCACGAACATTCCTTTCTTTCCCTCGTGCATTCAAGAAACAAATATTTATTGAGGGCTTACTATGTGCCAAACAGACGTAGTCTCTGCCATGCCTTGAGGCTTTGGAAGGCTGCCTCCTGTCTTTCCTGTAGCTTCCAGTTCCTTCTGCTATCTAACCCTAGGCGCAGGAATTCTGCTTCCCAGTGTGAAGAGTAAGTCATATTTTCTAGGGCTAACACTGTGTCCAGCACTGTGGCCAGGTCTCCCTTTGTCAAAAAGCCTCAGAATTAAATGATTGCTGCTGCCTCCATGTGAGGGTATACATTCCGGATATACATACATGAGGACACTCATCAGACAACTTTGTAACTCACATCCTATAACCAGACCTCCCTGACGGTAAAGCCCTATGAATATTTATTGCAACCTTGTGAAAAGCATAATTATTCTTCACTATACTTTTATGTGTGTGTGAAAAGCATCACTGTGTCAAATTTGTGTATCCCTGTTATAATGTTTTTAATAGAAGAGCCTTAGAAAGGAAGGGCGGCCCAGGGCTCTCTCCACCTCTGAGAGACCCTTGGGGGCTTTCAACCTGGAGCTGAAGGGGCAGTGGAGCACAAAGTGGGCAGGTCCTGAATCCCCTGTTCAGTTGCTCTTGCTGGAGATCTAGCCCAGAAGCTGGCAGAGGGACCTCCACACATGCCTACTGACTGGCTAAAGGCAGGCCTGTGAAGCACCTGGTGCACTGTGGCCACTTCACAGTCCAGAACAGAATGCCTTACTCACGCCTAATCTACCGCAAAACTAGATACCACAGATATACTCAGCCCCACCCATAGGGTGCCTGAGAAAGCATACGGGCATTGGAGACACGCCAAGGGGGTGACAGGAATCCAGGCCTCCTAGCCTTCTTTGGACCAGCTGGTGTGTCTAGGTGGGTTTCTGGTTTTGGTGGTGGTGGTCCCTTAATTCGCTTTTAAAAAGCAGCTTCCCTCTCTGCCTCAGGAACCCCCAGGCCTCTGAGGCATCAAAAGTAGAAGATTCTCCTTCAGCTGGGCAGCAGTTGGGACTAAAAGCCTTGGAAGAACTCTTTGCAAGTTGTCCTTCCTTATAAGTCACACATTCTTTGCCTAGTGACTCTCTTTTCCTGACTTCAAAGCACTTTTCCACGACTAACATATGCCCAAGAGGCAAGCAGCCAACTCTTTGTTGCCAACCACCCTTTAATTGTGAGGCCCTCGCATGCATCAGTGGGCACAGGATCTACTGACTTAAGAACAGAAAGATAACTCACTAGGTGCTGGCTTCCACTCCATTCCCCACCCCTTATCTCAATGAATTATTTCACCACCACAGAGCAGATTTTACAAATGAGAGAACCACAGCTCAAGGCTGCGAAAAGCAGGATCCCAATTAGAATTTGACTGTATCTGAAAAAATAAAACATGCCCTTTTCTACCCCTTGACGATTCAGCTTATGGCTGCTGAGTGGCAGTTACAGGCCAGGCGTTTTCCCTTTCCTGGGCTTTGGCTCACTAAAGGGTTACACTCCTCAGTCCCCTCCTGTTGGGCTGGAAACCACAACTTCCAGCAGCCAGCACAGATCGAGAACGCCTCCCCTCATCCACCTGCTGACTCCACCACATGCTACTGCCCGGAAGCCCGAGCCGGCGAGTCGAGGAATAATTTTGGCATTCACTTCCTGATTTGATAAAGCCTGGCATCACCTTTATTAAGGCAAACCCATGCCCTCTCTCCTCTCACCCTCGATGCAAAAATGGAAAAAACATGCTGAGGCAACGAGACCCAAACTGACAAGACTGGTGACAGCCAGAAGGAAGAGTATTTATATTTCGGGACTTTAGATGATTACAAATGCTTTCGCTTTTCCTGAAACGAAGGCTGAATTCAAGGCCTCCCTCCCTCCTTCTTAATCACTACTCACCAGCGGCGTTTCCTCTAAGGCCCACCTATCAGAGATTCCCGAGAAATGACTCGGATCTCCCCGCAACCCGGAGGCACAGCCTCCTGAATTCCTTCCCAACACCCAGCGGCCTGGACGCTGCAGTGTTTTGCTTTCAAAGGCTGCGATTTCATTTGTCAGATCGCCTGCCAGTCAAAAGCTGGCGGGCACTTCGCGCAGGCGAGTGGCTGCGAGGAGGAGGTGGGTGGGGTATCCCCCGGCTATTGGCTGCGCCGCAAAGCTTGCTTGAAGCGTAGGGGGAGAGCCCTGGGGAGCCTGCGCCCGGCGGGAGCTTTGCGCTCACCGGCAGGGGTCCCCTCTAGCGGCCGCCCGGGGGACGTTGGAACAAACCCCGCTTCCCTTCTCCGGCTGTGCTGGAGAGCTCAGGTGACTGCCCGACAGGTGGACAACCTGCCAGGTGTCCTTCCTTCTATCCTTAGGGCCACCTCCGGGCTTTGCTCCTGCTGGTCTCTGACCTCACGCTCTATGTATTCAAATCCTGTACATTCTTCAAGATCCAGTTCCCCCGAAAGCCTCGGGGCCATACATGTCTCTTCTTGTCTGCCTTCCCGTAACACCTGTTGGCTTCGCTATATTCCAACCCTCCCAGTACGTCCCCAGCTCAGCAAAGCTTACGGTCCTCCAGGGAGCCTGGCGCTTAGGAACGTTTCCGTCATGTACAAGTGTAATCATTAACACGTGCGTAGAGCTTACACTTTATCACGTGCGTTTCATTTCAGATCCGCACAACAACCCCAAGTGAGACATTGAGCTCCTGCCCATTGTACAGATGAAGAAGTGACATTTGGACAGAGACCCCAACGAGGAGAAAGCCGGTTTGGGTTCAGATCCTGAGGCGGGGCTCAGAGGGAACGCTTGAGAGCAGAACGAGGTTGGCATGTTGTAGGAACTGCCCAAAGGACAGCGTGGCTGGTCCGAGGTTATTCTGAGGGGGTGGGTGGTAGGAGCTGTGAGCAGAGGGACCGGTCAGGGACTGTTTATAATAAGATGTTTGGGTTTCATCCTAAGTTTAAAGGGGAGCTGTCGGAGGGTCCTAAGCAGGGGACAGGACCACCATGACTGCTGTGAAGCGGTTAAAGAGGAGCTCATGGGACACTATGTGGTTGCCCTGGTGTAGTTGTTCACATCACTCTTTTTTTCTTTTGCTATTATAAACAGGACTTGGATGAATGTTGGTTCACTCAGGTTTATCCTTGAGGTAGGATTTCTGGGTGAGCAAAATTCTAAGGCTTTTGGTCTATCACAAGAGTTTTGAGCGGTTGCCTAGATAAGCCCCTATTAAGTTTCCCGAGCGGTCCTGACGTAGTTCACCTGCACCCTAGAATTCTGGCAGCTTCCCTGCAGTTTTTGAAACGCCTCTAGCGATTGGCCAACAAGTTTTCACGCTAAAGAAACAGAGGACACCATTGGCTAGTGTTACTCAGGAGGCAGACAGAGGCAGGCTCCAGAATGTTAGGCCTTTGGTTGCCATAGCGACGGGGAGCTTGGCCAGGCCAGATTCAGCCCAGCGGACCAGACGAGGTAGGAGGCAGTCCATTCGGAGGATGGGCCCCCCGGTCGTGGGGAGGAGGATCTGGCACATCCCATGGGACACCCACTGAGACCCCCGGCCTGCCGGGTGCGTGCCGAATTCCGGTGCCTCCTAGGCGGTGCCCTGAGGGCGGGAGGAGCCACCGTTGGAGGCGCCCCTCCCTGGAGGTGTGCCCTCAGAGTCCCCACTTGAAAAGTGGTGATAATAACCATGGTGCCTTCCCCCAGGGAGCCCCTGTGAGGGACGTGGGCGTCTGACTCCCCTGCCTCAGCCTTTGCGAGTGTCCAAATATTTGGGGGCTGGGGTGCTGGGCAATGGGTGGACGACAAAGAGCTGAGTTCTAATTCCAGACCCACTCCTGCTCCTTGAGTGTCCCCCTGCAAACATCTTCCCTGCTCTGGGCCTCAGTTTACCCATCTCTAAAACAAAAGGGTGAGATTGGAATCTCGTGGTCACTAGCCAGCTGCTAAAGTTTCCTCCAGCTCTCTCACACGTTTTCTGAGCTTATGAAAAATATCGAATGCATTGTTTACCTGAGAGTCCTTTGGAAATATGAAATACACTCAAGATGCAGTTGTGCATATAATCTCAGTTATGAGATTATAATTGAATCGATAAAAATCTCATATAGTCATAACTACTCATGCAAATCCCATAAAATTTCATGTAAAGTAACAGTATACATGACTTAGTATATATTGATATACTTTCCACAGTAATATATGTATATAAAGGTATAAAATATGATACTATAACATAAATAATAAAGACTTTTTTTAAACATAGAGATGGAGGAATGAAAACAGGCCTATAGTTTTAGTGACTTAAATCTTTATTGAATGTAACTCCTGAAGGAAAGAGTTGTATTATGAGCACATCTATACACATTACTGCTAAAATGATCCTTCCTGTAATATTCTTTCCTTCCTTCGTTCATTCCACAAATATTTATTGAGCATAGTGCCATTTTCCTGGCAGTATGGGCCAGGAAACAGACTGGGGATTCAGTGATGAACATTCTATTGGGGGAAGATCATAAAGAAATAAATACACATAAAACCTGATGTTGGGAAGTAAAAAATGTTCTGAGATAAATAAGGCAGGGCCAAGGCCTGGAGAAAGACGGGATGGTCCTTCTTAAGAGAGAGTGGTCAAGGAGGTCATCCCTAAGAAGGTTTGAACAGAGATGCAGATGAATCTGGTGACAGGGCCAGAGGATGATGCCCAGTATGGCGAGGGGAGAAATCTCCATGCTACAAGGAGGCTTATAGAAGCCAAAGAGGTCCCTTGTGGAGAAGAGGATCAGCCATTAGATGGTGGGACATGAGGGCTGCTTTCAAATACTTGGAGAATAGTCACATAGAACAGTGGCTTTCAAATTTTTGATGGTGACCCATGGCAAGAGATGCATTTTATATTGTGACCCAGCACATACACGTGAACTTAAACAGAACTTCGCAAAAGACTATGGGCTATGACCTGCATTTTGAAAATCACTGATGTGGAAGAGGAATGAGACTCATTTTGAGCTGATTCCAAGGGTTGGAATTAGAAGGAGTGAAGAGAGAGAGAGAAAGAATCAGCTTTGATACAGGCAGGAACTTTCTAGCCATTAGAACGACCAACAGTGAACTGCCTCAGAAATTTCCAAACGGAGTTCTAGGGAACCCCAGCATGTGCGAAAGTTCAAGACAGTCTCAAATATTTGCTTTATATTTTGAAAACTATATGCAATATCCTAATATTCAAAAACGAATCCTACCCACTCAGGGGTGCCCAGTGTCAAAATTTAGCATGTTAACATTTAGTGTGTGCTGCTTTTGAGGTTGTTATAGTGGTTAAGAGGGAGCAGAAGTCAGACTTCTGATGTGACCTTGAGCAAGTCACTTAACCCTTCCCTCTAAGCTTCAGTTTTCTCATCTGCAAACGGGATAATACCTCACTGGATTATTGTAAATATTGCATGAAGTATTCTCTATAAGGCATTTAGGACTGTACGGGCTCAATAAATGATAGCTATAATTTTAAGCTGTTAATACATTATCCCTGTGCATATATTAAAACCTAATGTTAATAAAAGCCTAGGCGGGGCAGCATGAACGACTTCGTGTGGATCATCATATTTGATCCTCACAAACACCTTGAGAGGAAGGTACTGTTATCGCTCTCAGTTTATGAAGGAGGAAACGGGCTTAAAAGGTTAAAGTCAGCACTCTGAAGTGGCAGAGCCTCACCTTGAACCCAGGCCTGGATGCTCTTGATCACTGCGCTGGCCCTCCCCTGGGAACTGCTTGCATATTTGCTGTGGATTAGGAAGGTGGCACATCCTCACTGCTCTTTCTTAGATTCCAGGCCCATGACGTCCTGTCATGAACAGTGGTAGAAGCAGGTGCACCGGTGAGGCACATCAGGGCAGTGCTCTCTTCACACCTGGGCTTCCCCTGCTCTCATTGTGGCTTCACAGGTATGCAGTACCGAGGCTGGAATGCATTATTAATAGTGTTGTCTTTAGGTGGTAGGATTATGGATTGTTTTAAAAAATCTTCTGAATGTCTTATATTTTCCAAAGATTTGACAATATGCACATATTACCATTGTAATAAGAAGCTTAAATTTTTTTCGAATCACCCGTAATTCTAGCAGATTAGGGCATTTTAAAAATAACAGCTGTGTTGCAGCTAGGAAAGTAGATGGTTCTTACCGAGATGCCAACTCAACACCGAAGAGCCGTAAGTGAATAGTGGCTGCTTTTCTAGACACTGAAAGACGTTCTTATACTGGAATAGTGGTTGTGCTATGATCGTTATTGATCCGTTTCTGTTGTTTTGAATCCCTTAATTTCTTTGAGTGTGTTGCCAATAATTCTATTAAATATTAATTTTTTTGTATAGATTGTCAACCAAAAAAGGTTGAGAATTTCTTTCTTTGTTTTTTTTTTTAAAGATTCCATTTTTTTCCTTTTTCTCCCCAAAGCTCCCTGGTACATAGTTGTATATTCTTAGTTGTGGGTCCTTCCAGTTGTGGCATGTGGGATGCCGCCTCAGTGTGGCTCGATGAGTGGTGCCATGTCTGTGCCCAGGATTCGAGCCGATGAAACCCTGGGCCTCCAAAGCGGAGCATGCAAACTTAACCACTTGGCCACGGGGCCAGCCCAAGATTGAGAATTTCTGCTGTGAGGGTGACAGAATAAAGTGAGGAACAAATACTGAAGGAGAAAAGTGTTGATAGAGCATAACATCATTTATTTAATCCTTAATTTGTTAGTATTTATAAATGGTGTAATTTCCTTAGGGGAAAAAAAAACTCTCAAGTCTGTCCATGAAAGATTAACTGCTATGGAAATTAAATCATACTCATGCTGTTAACGACTTACAAATAGACAAATATAGGAAACAACTGTTTTTAGACATTGGGCAACAAGCAGCTTAGTACTACAATCCCTGAGAGAAGAAAAACAAGGTGAGCCCTACAATTAGTGCTGGGGGTAGCTTCCAGGCCTCAGTTCAAGGAAGGAAGAACCCAAACAAAGCCCAGTATCCTGAGCTGGGGAGATAGAAATCAGATTTCAGGGAGATCAAAGTGGCTGGAATTTATAGGGTAGAACACCAGAGAGGAGGGACCTACGCAAAAAAGTCTAGAAATAGGAAGAGAGTTCCCCTCAGGTCTTGGCTGAATAGTGATCTCCCCATGCATGAGAGGAATCTAAGACTAGGGAAAGAACTACCAGAAAGCAGCCTGAATAATTTCTGGGGCTTACACAGAACTGGGAATACTTTGTGCTGCCATAAACCAGGATGGAGAGACGCTGTATTAGATGGGGAGCAGATGGAGTCCACAGAAGCATCATGTCTTAGTAGTAGGGGTAAATTATTCCCAAAATAAAAGCTGCTCTGGATCCACTGTAACAAAGCTTATAAAACTCGAAAGCATCAAATGGGTCTCCAAGTTACAGGAAATGGTGCCAGAAAAAAATGGAACACTCCATAGGAATACTTCAAAACCCAGTACCCAACAGTGCAAAATTCACAATGTCCAGTGTCCAATACAAAATTACCAGACATGAAAAGATACAGAAAAACATGACCCATATTCAAGAGAAAAATCAATCAACAGGAACAACCCCAGAGATCATAGAATTAGTAGAAAAGAACCTTAAAACAGGTATTATAAATCTTACAAATATGTTTAAATATTTAAAGGAAAACATGATGAAGATAGAAGTGGAAAATATAAAAAAAAGGACCCAAATGTAACTTCTAGAGATGAGAAATGCAATATTTGAGATGAAAAATCCAATAGATGGGATTAACAGCAGATTATACACTATGGATCAGTGGACTTGCAGACACAAGTTATAGACTATCCAAATGAAGCACAGAGAGAAAAAAGACAAAACAAAACAAAAACCCAAGAGCAGAATCTTAGTGACATGTGGGAAAATATTAAGTGATCTATACACGTATAACTGTAGTTTCAGGAAAGAAGGGGGTAAAAGGTGAAAAAAAATTTTTTAAATAATGGCCAAAGATGTTTCAAATTTGATGAAAACTATAACCTGCAGATTCAAGAATTTCAGCGAATCTCAAACAGTAAAAGCATAAAGAAAATGATGCCAACACATCATTGAAATCAAATTGCTGAATGAAAGCGATAAACAGAAAAGCTTAAAAGTAGATGGATAAAAAAAGATATATTACTTACAAAAGAATCAAGATAATAATTACAGTGGACTTCTCGTCAGAAACTATGCAGGGCAGAAGACAATGAAATAATATACTTTGCAGTTGTAGGAAGGTGGGAACCTGTCAATCTAGAATTTTATGCCCAGTAAAAATAACTTTCAAAAAGTGAAAGAAAAATAAAGATCGTTTTAGACAAACAGAAACCTAGAGAATGTATTATCAGAAGCCTCCATTACAAGAAATGTTAAAATAAGTTTACAGACAGAAGGAATAGAATACTAGACAGAAGCTTGGATTTACACAAAGAATTGAAGAACGTTGAAAATGATAAATATAAACTAAATTTTTTCTTATTTCAATCTTGTTAAAAAATAATTGACTGTTTAAGTAAAAAAATAACATGAGATTCATAATATACTGTAGGCCCCCCATATCTGCAGTTTCTGCATTTGTGGATCAAAGGGCCTACACTGGTTGCATCTGTACTGAACATGTACAGACTTTTTCTTCTTGTCATTATTCCCTAAGCAATGCAGTATAATAACTATTTACATTGTATTAGGTATTATAAGTAATCTAGAGATGATTTAAAGTATATGGGAGGATGTCCATAGGTTATATGCGGATACTATGCCATTTTATATAAGGGACTTGAGCATCCGTGGATTTTGGTATCTGTGGGGGCCCTGGAACCAATCCCCTGCAGATACCGAGGGATGGCTGTAGGTAGAACTAAAATGTACATGAAAAGGACGAAAAGGATGGAAAGTGGGAAATGGAAGTATACTATTGAAAAGTTCTTACACTATATGTGAAGCAGTATAATATTTGTGATAAAGATGTAAACTCTAAACCTTAAAGCAACTACTAACAATAAAATAAGTATAGCTAATAAATCAGCAATGAAGATAAAATGGAATCATAAGAAATACTCATTTAATCCAAAAGACTGCAGGAAAAAACTAACAAGCATCAGATGGAACAAGGAGGAAAGAGATAGATTTAAATCCAGCCATATCAATTACTACATTAAATGTAGAAGGTCTAAACACTCCAGTCAAAAGGCAGAGCTAAGAAGATTAGATTTAAAAAACCAAGACCCAGCTATGTGCTGTCTTTAAGAAACCCGCTTTACATGTGGAGACACAGATAGGTTAAAAGTAAAGGGATATAAGAAGATGTAGTATGCTACCAGTAATCAAAAGGAAACTGGAATGACTATATTAATATCAGAAAAAAACAGACTTCAGAACAAGGAAGACAGAGGCATTTCATAATGATAAAGGGATCAGTTCATCAAGAAGAGATAAAAATCCTAAGTATACATGCATCTAAAAATGCTTCAAAATACATGTAGAAAAACTGGGAAAACTTAAAAGAGAAATAAACAAATTCACAGTACTATTATATAGTAATATAATGTTATAACACTTCTCTCTCAGGATTGATAAAATGAAAAAAACAGAAAATCAGTAAGGATATAAAGACAACACTATCAACCAATTTGACCTGATTGACATTTATAAAAAAAACTTCCATCTAAAAACAGTGGAAAAACTTGAAATCAATAATAGAAAGATATCTGGAAAATCCCCCAGATACTTGGAAATTAAATAGCAGACTTACAAATAAACAAAGTATCAAAAGATATTACCAGGCTCATTTGCCACAACATGGATGGACCTTAAAGGTATTATGTTAAGCACACAGAGAAAGGCAAACACCAAATGATGTCACTCATATGTGGAAGATAAACAAACACATGGACACAGAGAACAGTTCAGTGGGTACCAGGGGACGGGGGTTACAGGGTAGGCACAAAGGGTGAAGGGGTGCACTCATATGGTGACTGACAAATAATAATGTACAACTGAAATTTCACAATGTTGTAAACTATTATGACCTCAATTAAAAAGTAAAAAGAAAAAAAAAGATAATACCAGGAAAAGCAGAAAATATTTTAAATGGAAAGAAAATGAAAACACAACGTTTGAACATATATGAGATACCACTAAAACAGTGCTTAGAGGAAAATTTACAATATTAAATGCTTATATTAAGAAAGAAGAGAGAAAGACAAATACTGCATGCTTTCACTCATATGTGGAAGATAACAAACACATGGACAAAGAGAACAGATTAGTGGTTACCAGAGGGGAAGGGAGTTGGGAGGGGTGGGCGAAAGGGATAAAGGGGCACATATGTATGGTGATGGATAAAAATTAGACTACTAAGGGTGAGCATGATGAAGTGTATTCAGGAATTGATAAACAATAATGTACACCCAAAATTACACAATGCTACAAACTATTATAATTCTGATAAAATTACTTGGAAAAAAAAGGAAGAACGAAGAAACGTCTAAATTCAGTGATTTAAGCCTCCACCTTAAAAAGCTAGAAAACTAAGAGCAAATGAAGCCTAACATAAATAGAAAGAAGGAGATGATAACGATGATAGAAGTAAATGAAATAGAAAACAGAAAAACAATAGAGAAAAATCAGTGAAACCACGTGCTGTTTTCTTTTGAAAGGATCAATAAACTTCTAGCTGGACTTATCAACAAAAACATATAAGATGCAAATTACCAATATCAGGAATGAAGGGGGGACATTAATACAGAACACGCAGATATAAAGGTTAAGAAGGGAATATTACGAACAACTTAAGGCCAATGACTTTCATGACATAAATGAAATGGAAAAATTTCCTTGAAAGACACAAAGTACCAAAGCTCACTAAAAAAGAAATACATAACCTGAAAAGCCCCATATCTATTAAGCAAATGGACTTTGTCTTTAAAAACCTTCCCACAAAGAAAACACCTGGCCCAGACTGCTTTACTTGTAAGTTCTACCGAACATTTAAGGAAGAAAGAACACCAATACTACACAAACTCTTCTGAAAATAAAAGAGAAAAAAACACTTTTCAACTCATTTTATGAAGCCAGCATTACTCTAATACCAAAACCAAAGACGTTACAAACAAGAGACAACTACAGCTTAATGTCCTTCATGAACATAGATGTAAAAATCTTTTTAAAAATTCTAGTAAGTTGAATCCAGTAATATATAAAATTGATAATATAATCATGACCAAGTAACATTTATTCCAGGAATATTATGTTGTTTTAACATTTGAGAATCAATCACTATGATTCATTTAATATACTAAAAAAGAATAATTATATGATCATCTCCATAGATGCAGAAAAAGTATTTGATAAAATTCAACATCTACTCCTGTTAAAAACCCTCAAGAAACCAGGATTAGAAGTGATAAAAGGCTTCTGTAAAAAAACTACAACTAACATCCCCATACTTAATGTTGAAAGACTGAGTGCTTTCTTACTCATCAGTAATGAGACAAGGATGTCCACCATCACCACTTCTAGTCAACATTGTACTGGATGTCCTAGCCATTGCAATCTAGTAAGAAAAAGAAAAAACAGGTGCACAAATTGGAAAGGAAGAAATAAAACTCTTTTTATTTACATATGACATGATTATATATGTGTATAAATAAGTTCCTAATTTACAAAAAAGTTATTAGACTTAAAAAATGTTTATCAAGGATTTGCAGATATAAGATCAATGTACACAAATCAATTGTATTCCTGTATACTAGCAACAAACAATTGGAAATTGAAATAAAAAAATACCAGTTTCATGACATAAAAATAGAAATATCTAGGAATCAATTTAAGAAAATATGTGTAATATCTGTATACTAACTATAAAATATTGCCCCCAAATTAAAGAAAACCTAAATGAATGGCGAGGTATACCATGTTAATAGATCATAACACTCAACAAAGTTAAGGCATTAATTCTCCCTAAATGGTTTTATAGACTCAGTGCAATCCCAATCAAAATCCAAGGAGGTTTTTTGGTAGAAATTGACTTGCTGGTTCTACAAATTGCATGGTAACTTGAAAGAGCTAATCTAAGAGCAAGTACAATCAAAATAATTTTGAAAAAGAACTACTAAGTTGGAACTACCTGATTTCAAAACTTATTACAAAGATAGTGTGCTATTGGTATAAAGATATACATATAGGTCAAAAGAACAGAATATATATAAAATCTCAATGGATTTTTGATGAACGTGTCAACATAATTCAATGGAGAAAGGGATATTCCTTTCAACAAATGGTGCTGGAACAGTGGGCTATCCAAATGCAATAAAACGAACCTGACCAGTACCTCATGCCATATACAAAATTTAGTTCAGAATACATCTTAGACCTATGCTTAATAGCTAAAACTATAAAACTTCTAGAGGAAAACATAGGAGAAAATATTTGTGACCTTGAGTTAGGCAAAGATTCACAAACGATAAAAGAAAATAATTGATAAATTCAACCTGAAATTAAAATTTTTGCTTTTCAAAAGACACTGTTTAAGAAAATGAAAAGGCAAGCCTCAGACTGGGAGAAAATATTTCCAAAACATATATGTGGTAAAGGGCTTTTATCCAGAATATATCAAGAACTTTTACAACTCAATAACAGGATAACCCAATTGTTTAAAAAAATGGCAGAAGATTTGAACAGACAGTTCACCATAGAAGGTAAACAAATGGCAAATAAGCACATGAAAATACGCGAATTAAAATACAATGAGATACCACTATACAACCACTAGAATGCCTAAAATTAATGACTTACCATATTAATATTGGTGAGGATGTGTGGCAATTAGAACAAACTTGCATACTGATATATGCAACAGCATGGAAGAATCTCAAAGGCATTGTGGTAAGTGAAAAAAGACAGATACAAAACAGTATGTACTGTGATTGCTTATATGTGACCTTCTAGAAAAGGCAATTATTGTGACAGAAAGCAGGGCAGTGGTTGCCAGATGTCAGGGTTGGGAGGGTATTGACTGCAAAGCATAGGGAACTTTTTGGGTGATGTCTGTATTTATATCCTAATGGTGTTGGTATTTGACACCATTGCAAACATTTGCCAGAACTTAGAATTGTACACTTAGAACTGATGAATTATATTGTATGTAAATTATCTCGGTAAAGATGAATTTATAAAATTCAAGCCTTCCGTAGCTCTATAAGCAATGTCAAAAGTGAACACGTAGAGAGTTCCTGCTCCAGGCAGTGTGTGTGCTCGGGCCGGGGGGTCCCAGAACTTGGTACATCTCCGCCTCTACCCACAGGACTGTTCAGTCTATCCCGCAGACAGAACAGAACCCAATCAACGTGATTAACAAGAATGTGAAATGATCCCTGCAAATGCTGTATTTTTCTGTTTCAGGGGCTTAGAAGAACATGTAATACAGTTTTTCATCAAACAAATGGAACACATCACAGAACTTTGCTAAGATGGACAACGTCACACAAAAAGACCAAGACCCTGGCAAAAAATACCCCAGAAATGCCGGCAAACTGCAGAAAGGTCTAGTGAACTTAATAACAGATGTCTTTGCGGGGAGGAGAGAGAGCTCCTGACATACGTTCATTTTAGTACATAAGAACCAATTTTAGGGGAATATAGTAAATCCTGGCTCATACCGACAGGACCATCCTTAAGGCGTATCAGATAGATTGCTTTGCTTGTCCCTCACTGCTTCTACTGTGATGAGTGGGAATAAACTATGAAAAGAGAGGATGAGGGAGCGGGGAAGAAGGAGGAGGAAGTCTATTCAACCAAAAAAACAGACTTGTTATTGCCATGTATCTGGTAAGAATCTCCGTCTTCAAATTTAAGGTGTAAGAGATCTCACTTTATTTCCTAAAACTTAATGCAGGCTACCAGTCTGCTGGGTTGTTGTAAAGTTTAACTCCAGCCTTTATTGGCACAGATCCTGTGTCCTTCTTGTTTCAGCTCTTGGATCTTTCTCGGTAGAAAGAAGTGATGGTAGGAGGCTGAGTGGGGGAGGGGAGGGGTGCTCAGAGCATTGGTCATCCATGTACCCAGTGAGGCTGCCCCTGTCCCAGTCTGCATGCTCCCTTTGGTTTGTTAGTATGTGCTAATTCTGGGCTACTCCTGGGTTAGGAATCATGGCTGAGACTGGAAACCTGATTCCCAGATCCTTACTCCACCGCTTTTTCTTTCAGGGATGTTACCACCTCCCTGGTGGGCTTCTAGAGTCCTTGCTGCTGTCAATCTCAGAGCTGGACCCCTCTTTCTTCCTCCCATCCTTTAATTCTGTGCTCTCTCTTTCTTTAATACTTTTTAAACTAAGGCATAATATATATTCAGAAAAAGTTCACAAATCAGAATTGTACAGAATTGTCCCAGAAGCCCTTGTCTTGTCCCTTCCCAGGCTTTATCCCCCTTCTCTGCAAAAGTAAACATCACAGCTGTCCTGACTTCTAATATAATTACTTTAGTCTGTTTTTGAACTTTATCTAAATTGGAATCATACAATATGAACTGTTTCCTCTTAGGGTTTTTTCTCTCATGTTATGTTTAAGAGATTTAACTTCATGTTTCACATATCCATAACTATTCATTTTTGTTGTTATAAAGTTTTCCTTTGTTTGAATCTACCACAATTTATTCATTCATTCTACTATTGAAGGACATTTGGGTTGTTTCCAGTTTGGGGCTAGTGTGACTAAGCTTTTATGACCATTCTTGTACATGCCTTGTGGGACATATATGTATGTATTCCTTTGATGTATACCTAGGAGTGGAATTGCTGAGTCATAGGGTAGGTTTCTGATCAGCTCAGTTGATACTGCCCGTCAGTTTTCCAAAGTGGTTGTGTCAGTTGTACTTCCTGACAAGCAGTGTATGAGAATTCCAGTTGCTCCACATCCTCACCAACATTTTGCTCATAATGGTTTTGATTTGCATTGCCCTTTGATCAATGAGATTGAGTACTTTTTCGTATGTTGGCTCACCTTTGGATATTCTTTTTGGAGAAGTGATTGTTCAAGTTTTTTGGACTTTTTTTGCGGGGGGGAGCGGGTGAGGAAGATTGGTCCTGAGCTAAAATGTGTTGCCAATCTTCCTCTTTTTGCTTGAGGAAGACTGTCTCTGAGCTAACATCTGTGCCAGTCTTCCTCTATTTTTTGTATATGGGATGCCACCACAGCTTGGCTTGATGAACGGTGTGTAGGTCTGTGCCCGGGATCCTAACCCACGAACCTTGAGCCAGTGAAGTGGAGCATGTGAACTTAACCACTATGCCACTGGGCGAGCCCTTTGCCCATTTTTTTCTGTTGGGTTTTTCTTATTTATAGGCGTTCTTTAAAGCATTCCAGAAGTGAGCCCATTTGTTGGCTATAGGTAAAGTAAATATCCTCCCTTAGTCTGTGACTTTTCTTTCCACTCTCTTAATGGTATGCTAATAAACAGAAACTCTTAATTTTAATATAGCCCAATTTATCAATCTTTTCCTTTATAGTTAGTGCCTATGTCTCTCCTATTTAAGAAATCTTTGCCTACCCTGAAATAATTTCTTCTAGTAACTGTATTATTCTACCTTTCATGTCTAGACCTACAATTCACTTGGAATTATTTTTGTGGATGGTATGAGGTAGCTGTCCAAGTTTGTTGTGTTCAATACGTATATCCAGTTGACTCAGCTCCATCTTTTGAAAGGTCATTCATTTCCTACTGCTCTGCAAGGCTGTCCTTGTTGTCAATCAAGTGTCCATGTATATGCAGATCTGCTTCTGGCTTCTTTATTCTGTTCAAATACACACTGTCTGAATTACTGTAACTTTATAACAAGTCTTTTATCTAGGAGTATAAATCCTTCAACTTTGTACTTTGTTTATCTTCACTCTTCTTGGCCCCATTGCATTTCCATATAAATTTCAGAATCAGTTCATTAATGTCCCAAAGAAAGTCCCTCCTGTCATTTTTATTTGGATTGCATTGATTCTAGAAATCAATTGAGGGATAATTTACATCTTTACAATATCGAGTTCTCCAATTCAAGTTCTCCAATTTAGCTTCCTTTCTTTTATTTAAATCTTCTTACGTTTTTCTCAGTAATGTTTTATAGTTTTCTATGTAGAGGTCCTGCATATCTTCTTTATATCTATTGTAGGCATTTGATTTTTATGCTGTTATAAATGATAATATTTTAATTTCATTTTCTAATTCTTTGTTGCTGGTATAGAAATAAAATAAATTGATTTTTGTATATGGACCTTGATTCTAGTGACCTTGCTAAATTCAATTATTATCTCTAATAGGTTAACTGTAGATTCTTTTGGAATTTCTCCATATACAGTCTTGTCATCTGTGAATAATGACAGCTTTATTTCTTTCTTCTGATCCATATATTTTTATTTATTTTTCTTGACCTTTGTACTGGTTGGAGTCCTTCAGGACAATGTTGAATAGATTATGATGATACTCATCCTACTTTCATTCTCTATTTCAAGAGAAAGCTTTTAATATATCACTATTCAGTATCATGTTTGCTATAGGCTTTTGTCATAGATACTTTTTATCAGATTAAGGAAATTTGCTTATTTAGCTATTCCTAGTTTGTTAGGGTTTTTTTTTAAAATCATAAAAGGATATTGGATATTATGAAATTCTTTTTCACTATCTACTAAACAGAGACTTCACCCCCCAAAAAGATATAGATAGCAAATAGCATATGAAGAGATGTTCCACATTATTAGTCATTGGGGATATGCAAATTAAAAGCACAACGAGAAACCACTACATACCTAATGGGATGGCTGAAATTAAAGACTGCCCACTGTTGATGAGGATGTGAAGTAGCAGTAATTCTTATGCACTAATAATGGAGATGCACAAAGGTACTACAGCTTTGCTAAAGAGTTTGCAGTTTATTAAAAAGTTAAACATATGATCCAGTTGTCCTAGGTATTTACCCAAGAGAATGAAAACTTATGTCCATTCAAAGACTTGTAGTCAAATGTTGAGAAAAGGCTTATTTGTTTGTTTGGTATTTTTGGTGAGGAAGATTGGCCCTGAGCTAACATCTGTTGCCAATCATCCTCTTTTTGTTTGAGAAAGATTGTCCCTGAGCTAATAAGTGCCAGTCTTCCTCTATTTTGCACGTGGGACACTGCCACAGCATGGCTTGATGAACAGTGCTAGGTCTGCGCCTGGGATCTAAACCCATGAACCCTGGGCCCAGAAGCAGAGCGCACGAACTTAACCACCGTGCCACCAGGCCGGCCCAGTAACAGCCTTGTTTGTAATTTCCCCATGCTAGCAGCAATTCAAATTTCCATTACAATGGATAAACAGTTCTCACATTTCTATACAATGGAATACTACTCAGCAATAAAAAGCAATAAAGTATTGATATTTCAACAACATGGTTGAATCTCAAAATAATTATGCTGAATGAAAGAAGCCAGACAAAAAAGAGTACATACTATATGATTTCATTCTGCATTTATTGAGATGATCCTGTAGTTTTTCTTTGTTACTTTGTCAACATGGTGAATTACATCAATTTTCAAATGTTAACCTATCTTTGCAGTACTGGGGTAAACCTCACTTCGTCATGATGTATTATGTTTTTTATATATTGTTGGATTTAATTTACTAAAATTTTTCTAAGAATTTCTGCGTGTATGTTTATGACGATTATTGATCTGCACTGGTTCCTCCCCTCTGCCCGCCCTTGTAATGACGCTGTCTGTTTTTGTTATCAGGGTAATGCTAGCCTCTTAGAATGAGTTGGGAAATGTCTTTTCCTCTTCAGTTTTCTGGGATAGATTATATAGATAGGTGGAATGTTCTGTAATTGTCAATTAGGTCAAGTTAGGTAATAGTATTGTTCATGTCTTGCATGTCTTTACTGAGCTTCTATCTATGTGCTTAAATTATTGAGGGAGGAATTTTGAAATATCTGACAATAACTGTATAATTTTCTGGGTTTTTTTGCAGTTTCGTTAGTTTTTACTTTCTGTATTTTGAGTTTCTTGTTATCGGGTGTATCAGCATTTAGGACTGCTACGTTCTCTTGAAGAATTGACCCCTTTATGATTATGAAATCACCCTCTTTTATTGCAGGCAATATTTTTTGCTCTGAAAGCTGCTTTATCTGATATTAATATCTAGGTTTCTTTTGATTAGTATTAGCATAGTGTATCTTTTTTCGTTCTTTTAACCTATTGGCTGGGTTGATATTTAAAGTGTATTTCTTGTAGGCAGCATATAGGTAGGTCTTTTTCTCTTATCCAATCTGACCATCTGTCCTTTAACTGAGATGTTCAGACTATTGAAATTTAACGTGATTCTTGGTGTGTGAGTTTAAGTCCAGCATCTTGCAGTTTGCTTTCTTCAGTCTTCCAATTTGCAATTGCACCTGTAATTTGTCCCATCTGTTCTTTATTTACTTCTTCTGTCTTCTTTTGTGTTGAGTATTTTTTGTTTCTATTTTGTCTCCTTGGTTGACTTATTAGCAATAGGTCTTTGCATTGTTTTCTTAGTGGTTGCTTTGGAATACGGTTGGTGACCTTTGGCCGTTGGGCCAAATCCGATCTGCTGCCTGTTTTTATCAACAAACTTTTATTGGAACACAGTTACCCCTATTTTTCTTTTTGAGGAAGATTAGCCTTGAGCTAATGTCTGTGCCCATCTTCCTCTATTTTATATGTGGGACACCTGCCACCGCATTGCTTGATAAGCAGGGTCTGCACCCAGGATCCGAACAGGCAAACCTTGGGCCACTTGAAACGGAGTGTGCAAACTTAACCGCTGTGCCACCAGGCCAGCCCCACCTCTCTTTCGTTATGTATTGTCTATGGCAGCTCTCACTCCATAATGGCAGAGTTAAGTAGTTGCCACAGAGACTATGTTGCCTGCAAAGCCTAAAATATTTACTATCTGGCTCTTTATAGAAGAAATGTACTGATCTCTACTATAGAGTTGATAGTATACATCTTTAACTTATGACATTCTACTATCAAGTGATATCATAACACTTCACATATAGCAGGAGAACCTTACAATACTATATTTTCATTTTTCTCTTCCTTGCCTTTGTGCTATTGTCAAACACTTTACTTCTACATATATTATAAATCCCACAATAGTGTTATTGTTTTTGCTTTAATCCATTATTTTTAAAATGATTTAAATTTTATATTTATATCTAAATGTGTCAATTTATACTCATAATTCTCTATTTTATATTTATCCATGGATTTACTATTTCCAGAGCTCTTCATTGCTTTATGTAGACACAGGTTTCCAGCTGGTACCATTTTTCTTCTGTCTGAAGGACTTCCTTTAACATTTCTTGTAGTTCCAGTTTGCTGGAGATTAATCCTCCCAGCTGTGGTATATCTTTAAAAGTCTTTATTTTGCTTTTGTTTTTGAAAGATACTTTTACTGGGTACAGTATTCTAGGGTGACAGTTTTTTTCCTTCAATACCTTAAAGATGTTTCCAACAGCAGTCTGCTGTCATTCTTACATCGTTCCTTTGTATGTAACATGTCTTTTTTCTCTGCCTGATTTTAAGATTTTCTCATTATCACTTTTTAAAAGCAATTTTATTTTATGTGCCATAGTGTAGTTTTATTTATGTTTCATTTGCTTGAGGTTCATTGATTTTCTTGGATCTGTGGGTTGATAGGGTTTATCAGCTTTGGAAAATTTTCATTTTTTTCTCGAAATACTTTTTCTATTTCCTCTCTCCCCATATCTCTTCTTTGGAAAGTCCAATCACACGTATGTTAGGCTCCTTGAAGTTGTCACATAGCTCACTGATATTCTGTACTTTTTAGTCCTTTTTCTCCTATTTTGGATAGTTTCCATGTCTGTCAAGTTCACTAGTCTTTTTTTCTGCAGTATCTAGTCTATTGTTAATCTCATCTAGTGGGGTTTTTTTGTTGTTTTTTTTGTTTTTGCTGAGGAAGATTCGCCCTGAGCTAACATCCGTGCTAACATCCGTTTTTTAGTGTGTGGGCTGTCAGCACAGCATGGCCACTAACAGAGCAGTGTAGATCTGCACCTGGGAACTGAACCCAGGCTGCCGAAGCAGAGTGCCCCGCACTTAACCACAAGGCCACCAGACTGGCCCTTATCTAGTGTGTTTTTAATCTCAGACATCTTAGTTTTCATTTATAGAAGTTTGATTTGGATCTTTTTTAATATCTTCCATGTCTCTATTTAATATGTTCAGTCTTTTCTCTAGCTTCTTGAACGTATCAAATACAGTTATTATGGTGGGTAGAATGTTCTTGTGCACTAATTCTATGACCTGTGTAATTTCTGAGTTGGTTTTGATTCGACTGCAGTTTTTCCTTCTTGGCATCCCCATGAATATTTTATTGGATGCCAGATATTTTGAATTTCACCTATTGAGTCTGTATGTGTTTATAGTCCAATAAATTCTTGTGCTTTGTTCTAGAATGCAGTTAAGTTACTGGGAAACACTTTGATCTTTTCAAGTCTTGCTTTTAAACTTTGTTAGCCGGAACCAGAGCAGCATTTAGTCAAGGGATAACTTTGCCATGTTTCTGAGGCAAAACCCTTCTGCGTACCCTACTTAATGTTCCATGAATTAGGAGGTTTTCCGTTGGACTCGTAGGAACATGAGCTGTTCCTGGCCCAGTGTAAGCATCAGCTATTGGTCACCCTCATTCTTTCAGGCGATTCTCTCCCCAGCTTTGGGTAGTTTTCCCACACGCGTGTGCCGATCGGTACTCAAAACTCCTAGAGGGGAACCCAGTGCAGGTCTCCCTACAGCTCTCTCGTCTGTGCTTCTCTGCTCTGGGAACTCTCCATGAGGCCCTCCTGGATGCCCACATCCATTTCTTCAATTTGAGAAGACCACCAGACTCCGCCTAGATTCCTCCTCCCTGTGCTACGGCCTGGAAACTTCTCCAGTAAGCCGTGAGCTGGGGGCAGTCTTACTGTGAACCTCATTTGTTTCGGTGTTCGGTGCTTGAAAACCATTGTTTCATATATTTTGTCCATTTTCAACTTTGCTTTTTCAGTGAGGAGGGCAAATCCAATCTCATTTTGATTGGAAGTGGAAGGTCAGTTACCCAGAGTGTTTTCTTTAAAATCCTGGTTTTTTGGTAGTTCTCCTGAGAGTTGCCTTGATTCGTGCCATTCCACCACAGCCAGAAGCCAAAGCGTTGGATCTGCTTTCTGATCACGGGGAAACCTTCCTTTTACCTTTCTTCAGAAGCCTCCTTTCTTTACTGCCTTCTCTGCAAAATCTCTCGGTTGTTCTATGACTCAGACTTTTAGAAACAACAGCTAGGAAGCCTTGCATGTACTGCTTTCTGATTTGCTCTCTAGCTTCCTTAAAGCAAAAGATACATAGCCATCCACCTACTTTAACGAGGGTGAGGGAGAAGGGAGGAAAAGAATATACTGTGTATTGGTATCTCCAAGTGTTTTCTAACCAAACATACATATTCTCTTTTTTCACTTGCTTCATCCTCAGCCCGGGCAAATTAGGCGAGGTTGCTCCATCCCCATTGTTTCATTCACTTGTGTGTGGAGTCCTTACTGTGGGCCAGGCTCAGCAGGAGGAAGGACAGCTTAGAGTTCAAGAGCCTGGGCTCTTTAGACAAACGTTCAAACCCCAGCTGCTCACCTGCTGGCTGTGTGGTTAAGCCTCAGTTTCCTCCTCTGTTGAGCTGGTTCATAAGTCCTGAGGGGCCCCCGATGACGTTGGGCTTCCCTCTTTGGAAAGTAGTTTTGTTTTTTCAAAAACTAAGAGACTAATAAATGGGCCTTAAAGACAGTTTCCATGCCACCTCGCCCCCACCCTAATAAATCCCTCCTTTCTTCTCTTGGCTGTCTTTTTTCCACTTCTGCACACATTCTGTCTCTGAGGAGGAGGACTCTGATGTTGAGATAATTTGGCTCCCTACTGGCACATCTTACAGAGTCAAGATGGACTCCCCCACCCAAAATTTGGCTTAAATGTCAAGACTGATGCTGCCGCACACACATCAAGAGGATATGAAAACGTTTGTTACTCATACAACGAGGCTTTCTGGGGAGAGCATGGCAGCCTTCCCAATCTGGTCCAAAAATGGCTTGAGAGAGCAGGGATAGGAGACTGACGTGGGTTTTATTGTGGTTGGGAGGAGGGGCTGGAGTGAGAGCAGGGGTTTGCGTGGTTTGGGCTTCCAGTTGGTACCAATGGAGGGAGCATCCTGGCCTCCTCATCGGCTTGCCCAGATGTGGGGTGGAAAGGGACGAGGGAGTGGTGAAGCTTAAAAGCTGTCAGCAGCCAAACATCAGAAAATGAGTCAGATTCTATGACACTCACAGGTCACAGTTTGTGATCAGCCTGCCGTGCAGATAGATAGATAGATGCTGCCGGTGGAATCTTAGCAATTGTGGACGTTCTCCCAGAGGTGGGGAGTGGGAGAGGGGAAAAGGGGAAGTTTATATAGCATTTATACATCACAACCCAGACATATAAACTGTTTTTTTTTTAAAGATTGGCACTCAGCTGACATCTGTTGCCAATATTCCTTTTTTTTTTTTCTTCTCCCCAAAGTCCCCCAGTACATAGTTGTATATTTTTTAGTTGTGGGTCCTTCTAGTTGTGGCATGTGGGACACCGCCTCAGCGTGGCCTGATGAGCGGTGCCATGTCCATGCCCAGGATCCGAACCAGCGAAACCCTGGGCCACCGAAGCGGAATGTGCAAACTTAACCACTCAGCCACAGGGCTGGCTCCCAAAATTTTAATTTGGTTTTCTATAACTGATCCCTTTCTGCTTTTTAACCCCACGTCTGCTCAAGCGGAAATCTAAACTTAGACTTGTCTTGCACAGCGCCCTGAAAAGTGAGAGCAAGCCCCACTCTGGGATTTCCCTCCCCGTCTGCGTCTTCATCGTGCTCGTTGATGTGTCACTCTGGGCTGAGGATGAGTGAGGATCTTGCTCTGTCCGCCTGCCTCCTCCAGGCTGCTCCAGGTGGTTCTGTGTCCCCTTCCTACTTGCCAAGAACATCTTCTCTGTCAGATCCTTTCTCTTACCTGGGACAATGTGCTTCAGCTATATATAGCTTAAGAGCTGGAGGGGAAAAAACCCAATAAATTACGAAGAGGGTAATTTACACTTGACAAAAATCCGGTTTCATGTTTCTCTCTTGTCAAAAGGCAAGTTTCTTTTCTATTCCATTTAAAGTAAAACATTAATATACAGCTCTGTGTTTTCTGCTTTTGCCAATTCTTTGTTCTTTGCTAATTTTTATTTTATTTTTGTTGTGTAGGTTTTACTGCTGCATACCCAACACAGTCCTCCGTTCCTTTTAAATATGAAGCTTCGATAATTCCAGAATCAGAAAAAAAAGGATTTAATAGTCAAGCCAAGAGATTTTATCGCAAAAAGGTAATGACGTTGTCTTCGAGATTCTTTACTTTTCGGCTGGATTTCAGCCTCACAGGCCGGGCACACGGGTCTGGCTGGTGCGTCTGTCCGTGTGACCAGTAGAGGGCAGTGTCCGCCAAGGAGCCGGGCGCCCTGCCCAGCTGTGCGCTGCCTGGACTGTAAGAATGAAAGATGTTAAATCCTGGGGAAAACAGCATGTCTGGACTTAAGGTGCCACACTGAGCCAAAACAAATTTCAAGAAGAAAGGTGTTTTTAAAAATTATTGCAAAAATGGAAAACTCAAAAATCCCAGGACTATGAAGTAAAAGGTAAAAATCCTTTCCTCTGCCTCCCCAAGCCTCACTCTTTATGAGAGGAAATAAGACTTTCTTCAAATAACATGAGGCAAAATAAGAGAGTCTAATAAATTTAAAAGTACCTTTGAGATGAAGGCCCCTCTTAAGTTTTAAACTTCCTTTAACAAGGTGTTGTTACTGTTCCTGTATTTCCGCCATCCTCAGCCTCTTCTCGAAATATCTCTGTGTCTCTTTTCCTCTTTGATCTGGAAAGTTCTGCTTGGCCTGATGGTCTTCACTTAACTTTTGGGATTTTGCCGCTGAAGGCCCAGGGGTCTGACCCTCCCCTCTCTCCCCAGCAGGGGGCGGAAGCAGCTTGAGCTGTCCTTAGAGTCTTTAAAAGTCTTATTTCCTTTATTCATTTATCCAGGACCTTTAGAATAACATTCTTTTGGAGGCGTCCTCGTCTCGCTTACCTTTTGCTGCCTTCTGAAAATGCTTTTCGTCCCCCTCCTTGCCCAGATGGCGGCCAGGGAACCAGGAGATGTGGGTTCTGAGCGCAGGTGCGTCAGGAAGGAGTCGAGGGGCCTTGGCAGCACCTTTGCCCTCAGCTCTTCCTCATTTGTAAACAAGAACCCTGAACTAGAAGATGATTAAGTTCCTTTTCATTTCTGATATTTTAAGATTCTAAGAAAGCAAATAATAAAGAATATAGCACGTGTATATACACACTCACATACATACACAAACATATATATTTTTAATTACTTGTAGGTTTTCCCCAAAGATGATAAATAAGATATTTGATCAGGAGTTTTCTCTCTTCTCTCTCTAGTCTCTCTATGTTTAAACTGTCTGTCTGTCTGTCTCTTTTCTGTTTGGTGTCCTTTTTGTCAGTTTAGTGATAATATGTTGTCCATCTCTAGGATATTTGCAGCCCAGACTCTAATAAAAATAATAGCAACCATAATTTACTGATCCCTACTATGTGTGAAATCGTTTTTAGACCGTGTCTCTAATCCTTAAAGCTAAAAGGAAGGGTATATTACCTTAATTTAACAAAAGAAGAAACCAAGGCTGAGGGAAGTTAAATGATCCACCCAAGGTCACACAACACAGGGTTTAGCAGAGAAGAGGCCCTGCACAAATATTTGCTGAATCAACGCTGAAAGAATTAGACCTCAAACCCAGGCCTCACTCACTCCAAAGCCTCATGCTCTTCCCACACACTGCACCACACCTCCCTTTGTGGCTCTCAAAGCCGTAATTTGATCTATGAAAGTCAGTAAGCACATTCTGAAAAGGCTTTAGCAAAACAGACCCAGCTCCAGATAGAAGGTGTCAGGTAGTGTGTGTAGGCTCCATCCCTTCTACATGATCTGGTTCTGAAGATTCAAATCCAGAAACTGAATGGACTGGCACTTTTTTTTTTTTTTTTTGGTGAGGAAGATTGGCCCTGAGTGAACATCTGTGCCAATCTTCCCCTATTTTATGTGAGATGCTGCCACAGCATGGCTTGACTAGCTGTGCTAGGTCCACACCCAGCATCCAAACCTACCAACCCCAGGCCGCCAAAGCAGAGCACATGAACTTAACCACTAAAGTATGGGGATGTGAATGGGCTGGCTTTTAAAGTTAGCATTTTAAACTACTATTGCTTTTCAGAAAATGTTCTGCTGAAGGGACCAAGGTGGCAGCTGGCAAAAGCTAGAGGCAGCGTCAGATATAGAAATAGCTCAGAAATTTGATTCGTACTTTTCAAATGTGGTCACATTGGTTTGACAATGTGAAAACTTTCATCTAAGTATTTGAAAACATTTTGTAAATAAGTCTGGAATTTTGTGGAAAGCACATCCATAAATGGGATCCATTAATGAGATTCCCTGTGTTCTGCTCAGTTACTAGCTGTGTGCCTTTAAACTAGTCACTTAACTTTTCTGGGCTTCAGTTTCCTTATCTGAAACATAAAATTTGGATTGTATAATTTTCTAGGTTCTTCAAGCTATAAAGACAAAACAAAATCTCTTCTTCCATGCTCATTAGTCTCCTTTTTCCTGAGGGGAATGGGCATTGAGAAGTTAAGACGCTTGTTTAACATTACCTGATAATTTAGTGAGGCAATCCAAATTAAAAACAGATTTTTAAACTCTGGTGTCTCACTAGCCTTCTTAAAAGATTAATCGCACACACCCTGTGTCTGATCTCATGACTCGGTTGTGCCCTCGCATTAGTTCTGTGACCCATTTAGCACATCTTTAACCCAGAAGATCGGTGCCCTTTGAAATGTACACTCACCTTACCAGTCTGCCTTTGGAGGAATCATCCGGGCCCCGTGGTGCAGCTCACATTCCCCGTAAGTCTGACTGCCGGGTACAGAGCCTGGGGCCTGGCAGTTTGGGCTGCTAGAAATGAAGTCTTCTTCCCTGAGCATCTTACAGTTGTGTACAGATGTGCTGGCGAGTCTCCTACAGGAAGAGGCACGCCCGTCTGGGACAGAGCAGAGCCCAGCGCCTGGTGGACACTTTCTCCCCCACCTCCTTTCTGCCTCCATTTCACCCTGGGTTGTGGTCACAGTTTCCCAAGCTGGGTGACCTAAAGGATACCCACTCACTGTCTTCGCATCTCTGTTTCCTCATCTTTAAAATAAGGATGTTGTAATAGGGAGGCCCTTGCTGGGAATTACTGCTTTGTGATTCTAAACCTGATTGATGGTACAGGCACCACATGCTCCAGATGGGCACGGTTGAAAAATCCACATTAATTTCACACGTAGCCTGACAGTGAATCCACCCTCCCAAACCGTAAGCAGGCCAGTGTTTAATTTGTGGTGGAACTGTACAAAGTTAATACTGTTCACTTGCAACTTGATAAGGTACTGGACCAGGGATGTTTTACATGTCAGAGATATTTAAATGAAAGGAGTTCGGTTTGCAGAGACCACGGTGTCCAAGGGGATAATTACCCTCAGTGTGTACTTGGCGGCATAATGAACCACAATAGGGTCTGCCCGACCTTCCTGCTCTGGAAACCTGACTTCTGGGCATCCGTCACCAGCACCCCTTTCTAAGGGGCCTGCAGGACATGTTCCTGGAATTAGCGAGCACTTGGCTGGCACTGACAGTGTGCCTGGAACCCCTAGAAGACCTTTGCATTTTCACCTCATTCAATCCCCATAACAACCCTGTGAGCTTGGTCCTGTCCTTATCCACACTTTTTGATAATGACCCTGAGACACGAAGAGCGTTAAGTAACTCGTGCAGCCAGGGTCAGGCAGAGCGAGGGCAACCTCAGGCAGCAGCTCCTGGCCCCCAGACACTGTTTCCCAGCGTCTCCCCAGGTGGAAGCAGGCACATCCTCCTCTGAACTCCTGCAGCCCGTCTCGTGCCCCTGACCACCTTCTGCTTAGCCTGAAGGGCGTGCATGTCCTATCTCCACCTGCCCGAGAGGTCCTGGGACAGCCATCATTGCTGTCCTTTCCAGACCCCGGAGCCCCACAAAAGTGGATTGAATGAATGGTCCCAACTCAAGTCTATGCATTTCTCATTGAGTCGCAGGAACACATCCCACCCATTTTGCACTGTTTGGCTGCATCTCCTCCATCCCGTTCCTGGAATTTGTGAGCAGCTAACATCTCGTGCCTGTATCCTTGCGCCTCAGCACAGGCCCTGGCCCACAGTTAGTTGCTTTCAATATGTTTGTCGAGTAGAGTTTTTGCCCACTTTCCACTCGGGAGACTTCAGGGGGCTGCTGACAAGCTGGTTCCAGGTTGAGAGAGAGGAGGGCTCTGAAGAAGAGCAGCGTGGCGCGCTCAGGGACAATCCCGATGTTAACGGATGCTTTGAAAATGCCGGTTTGACTTCTCTTTCTGACCGTTTCCAACCCAGCCAGGCCAGCGATGGGCAGAGACCTGCTCCCCATTGTCATCTGCCCAGGTGGCCAGTGTCCCCGCTGCTTCCCCCACACTGTTCTCCACCTGGGCGACTAAGAAACGGTTTCCTCGAGAAGCTCCCTTCGGGCTCCCGCGACTTTCCCTTTCTGACATCCTCCCCCATTCTGAACAAAAAAGGGATGTTTTCTTGCTTGTAGTGCACTCGCTGCCTCTCCCTGTTCACTGTGATCAGAGGCTTGTAAACTTTGATGCCAGGCATCAGTGTATGGAGCGGGCAGAGAAAACAGAAGGGGCAGATCTCAGAGTTGTGGACAGTTTGAACCAGAAGGACTTCGGCGACCTCTAAATCCACAGAGGGGCCCTTTCTGTGACAGCATCTCCTGCTGAAGCCCGTCAGGGCAACTGCTGCTTGAAGCCGCTGCCAACTCTGGCCCCTTTCCCTGCCTTCCTCGTGGAGGCCTGGAGTGCCGTTTGAAAACCACGGATCTGGACACCTCCACTTGCTTCTTTGCAGGTTTACACATGGGGGAACTGAGGCCCAGTGAGGGGACGTGCCCTGGGGACAGATGCCAGCTCTCTTGCTTCTGGTCCATGTTCTCCTCACCACTTTGGCCACATCAATCTGAGTAAAGGCTTTCTAGCTTTCGATGAAGTCAACAGGGTGGATGCACGCATTGTCCCAAGACCCTAAGAAAAGAGGTGTTTGTAAAAGGAAGTTGTTCCCTCTGGAACCCCAAGTTCCTGTGTGGTTTTGCCGGTGGATTCACCACAGGACGAGGCTCTGTTTCCGCCTCAGGCGTGGCCGTCTTCCGCTCTATGCCTCTAGCCCTTCAGCAAACTCCTACTTTTTTGTTCATCTGTGCTTTCCTGAGAATCACCAGCTAGCCCCCCAAGAATAGACCGAAGCAGGGTGGAACATGTTTGAAGTGTCAGAAGGCAGGTCCAGTGTGGTCTTTAGCCAATGAGCCAACAGAGACCACGTTTTCCAAGCCAGGAAACAGTTTGACAGACCATTGATTTGACAAACCCAAGAGTATTAATTGGACAGAATCTATGAAATCAGGACTAGAAAATCCAGGCTGGGTGCAGATGGAACTGGCTCCAGGCTGTGGGAGATTAAGCCCTCCCATGACCTGTGGAGACACCTGGGATGATGAGGCGCATGCCCTGCTCCACTCTTCCCCTCCTCCTTACCTCTCTAAACCTATCCCAAGGTCAAGTGGGTGTAGAGCTGTGTTCCACCCTTGGCACATGCAGAGGCTGCCCATTTGGGAATTTAATCCTTCAAAAGAGCTCTCAAAGTGCGTTTTGACCAAATGTCACCCAGATGTGTTGGGTGGGAGCATATCAGCCAGTCAGCCCTTGCTCAGTCTCTCTCTGAAGGTCTTTAACCCCCAAAGGAGGGTCCTGGCTGCATTGAGGCTGTCGTGGGCAACTGAAGACTAGGAATGCTGCTGATGATGGCAGGCACACACTGGCACTGCTCTAGCCCCTGTGCGTGTACTGACTCACGCAGTCCTCTCCCTGTGGGGCAGGCACGGGAAGAAGACGGATAGCACCCAGAACAGTGCTCTCAACAGAGCGCTCGGCAGGCAGTCAGTGGAGCTCCGATAAATGATTCTCTTCCCTTCTCCCTCCCACGCCTGTTTTTGTTTCGTTTGTTTGGCTTTTGACTTCTGGGGTGGTCTCGGCCAAGAAAGCAAGAGGTGGCTAAGTTCATACCAGTTGCAACCTGGATTGTTATTCTCTGGGGTGTGCTCTGAGAGGCCTAAACTCATCTGAGTCATGTGACATTAGTCACGTGGACTGTCACCCCAGAGGTGGAAGGTCTGGATTTTTGTGGCCCTCCTGTAGAGCCATGCACCAGCCCGGGCAGTTGCAGGAGAAGGTTTGGATTCTCTGCAGCTGGACATTTCCCTCCAAGTAGCTTAGAAACCTACTTGGGTGCCACGTTGGGGTAGTGGTGTGCTGGCAAACCAGCTCTCCCCTCCACAAAGAAAAATTCTGGTTTCTAGCATTTGCCAATTCTTGTGATGTAAATACTCCCGCCCTGGCTGATTTCAAGCTACTGCTAGCAAAATTTCTTAATTTTTCACAGTCGCCCTCACAAGCTGCCACTGGCCGGCTGAGCCTGCTGCTGCTGAAGGACCCCGCTTGGACATTAAGAGCCAGCAGGAGAGGTCACCGTCCCCCTCTTATTTGGCCTGGAGTCAAACCAGTTTGCAGTGGGGCAGAATTAAAACATGATTAAGGTCCCGTGGGGTTGCCAGATTTAGCAAGTGAAAATACAGGATTCTTAGTTAATTTAGAATTTCAGATAAATTCTAAACAACAGATAAACAACTGTTTTAGTATAAGTATGTCCCAAATATTGCATGGGGCGTACTTACGCTAAAATATCTCTTTGTCGTTTATCTGAAATTCAGATTTAACGGGCAGGGTGGGGTGGAGCCTTGAAGGGCTTGTATTTTATATGGCAACCCTAGCTCCTCAGATACGTAATGGTGTCCAGAAAATTCTCATGAACTGATGGCGGTGTTGAGAGTGTGGCGATGGGCCGGGCGCTAGAGATGTGCATCTTCACTGTTCACTGTTTAAGCCTAGAAAAGCCGCAGTTACGTTTCCTGCTTCAGCTTTCCCTCGATTGAGGGGCTCTGGAAGCTAAAAGACACCCGAAGGCATTTAGTCCAGCATCTTTGATTTACAGATGAGGAAACTGAGGCCCAGAGAGGTGACTTGCTCAAGGTCACTTAGCTAGTAGCAACACTAGAATTCCTGACTCATACCCCAGTGGGACTTTGTTTTTCTTTTATCTTACACATTCGCCTTTGAGAGTTAGTGTGGTTTAGTGGTTAAGAGTAGCCTCTGTACTCAGACTGCCTGGGTTCAAATTCTGGCTCTGACACTTCCTGGCTATGTGACCTTGGGCTGGATCTCCTTTGGCCTTGGCTTCTCATCTTTAAAATAGGGATTAAATGAGTTAGTGCATGTAGAGGACTCAGAACAGTGCCTGGCACTCAGAGCCCACTCATTAAGTATGTGCTGGCCCTGCAAACAGCCCCCTAGAAAAATCTCTTCCTTGTTTCCCTGTAGCCCCTCAAGTCTGCACCCACATGCCGGGGTCCTTTTGGCCTCGGCCTGGGGTGCGTGTGCACCAGGCTCTGTTGCATCTCCTTGGCCTGCCTCACTCTCCCAGGCAGTCAGGCCCCTCCGTCCACCAGGACCGTCACCACCTACAAAGTAGAAATCGGCTCCCCTGCCCCCACTGCTGCAGAGCCAGGCTCAGAGGACGCACTGCATCTGAATTCAGCGCGGAAGAACCTGTTAATAGCACTGCTGACCCTGTCCCTTATATTAAACCACAATCACACCCTGCTCAGGTCAGACTGGAAAGTCCTTGAAGGTCCTCAGGGTGCCTTAAGCTTGCTTTCTGCCCGGAGGAAGGTTGTGATGGTGGAAGTAGGACGAGCCTTGGTGGCAGAGGTTGGAGGGAGAAAGCGCTAGAGTCAGCCTGCCTGGTTTAAATCTTCGCCATTTACTAGCTGTGGACCCAGCATCTCTGGGCCTCACTTTCCTTAAAATGGGCCTGATGATACCCCCGCTGCACAGGGCTGTGTACACCATGCACTTAGCACCGAATTCAGGTACTGCCATGTACAGCAGTGGGACCTTGGGCAAATGCATCTCCACATGCCTCAGTGTCTCCATCTAGAAAATGGGGACAGTAATCTCTTCTTCACCCGGGGATTAAATGAGACAACCTTTGAGAAGGTCCTGGCGCCAAGTTGGCAGCCAGTAAACTCCTAAGACAGGGGAGCATCCTTACCATTTCACGCCACTTGCGTGGCCAACTTCTGTCAACATTGACTTCCCCCTGGTAACTAGCGTGGAAATGAGACAAAAGCCCAGTTCATTGCAGCAGCAGAAACGCGCTTGGAAGTCACACTTCTGTTTGTTCCTCTCTCACATCCCTGCATCATTTAGCACCTGAGCCCCAAGATCCTGCCTCTTTTTGTCTGAGAGTTAGAAATGGGCTTCTTTGGGAGGCAGGTTGTTTTTGTTTCATTTTGCTTTAGAAACAGAAACACTCCCTGATTTCTCTTCTGAAAGGCTGAGGAGGAAGCTGAGCCAGGTGGGGTGCGGTTGACGTGAAATGGGTCGCCCTGCCCTCCCCGTGGGCTTGGCTCACCCAGTCATTACAACCGACTGCCCATCAGCCACACTTGGTATCCCATTTTATGCTCATTTCTCTAAGGGCATGAGAAACAACAGCGTTCTTCTGGAATGCAGTACGGCATGGTGGAAAGAGCAAGGGCTTTGGGGGTCCCAGACCTGGGTTGGAATTGCAGCCCCAGCGCTTGATAACTGAGACGGTGACTGGGCAGGTTAGGCAACGGTGGAGCCAGGCCGTCATCCGTGAAGTGGCAGCAGTGCCTGTCCTGGAGGATTACAGAGAGGCGTAGCGTTAATGGATGTAGAGCTTGCGGAAAAGCACAATGGAATTGAATGTATCCAGATGACGCCACATGCTCTTCCCTTTCAGGATGATCTCCCAGGTCCTGGGTTCTACAACGTCATTCACCAATCTCCAGTGTCCAACAGTGTCTCATTGTCTAAGAAAGGGACAGGCACTTTTCCCTCTATGGTGAGAAACCCTTCTTTGAGTAAGGCCATTAACTGATCAGTAATTTCCTTCATTCATTGCATAATCATGTATTGGACATCCAGTCCCTTTTCTCCAAACGCCCACGGTTCTAATTAGGAGAGTAACTGCCTCCTCAAATTTCATGCAGGTAGATTGGAGCCTGTGTCTTTATGAAATTTTTTCCCACTGCTACACGTTGCCAGAGTGGGAAGAGAAGCTAGAGGAATATTCAGACCCTCATCATCCAAAACCAATTTTGTCATCATGGACTGGCCTAGGCAAATGTTTTCCTGAGATTTTTAGGCATACTATGGAAAAAGTCATTATTATACATTTTGCCCTAATGTGATGTTTTACATTGCTTAGTCTAATTGGGTTATTCAAATTATTGAGAAATCTGACGGGACCAAAAAGAAAGCAGGCAGTGGGCCTAAAATCTACTGATCCTCTTCCCCTCTCCATTTCTCTTCTTTCTAAGATGTGGGTCCTGATCTTTGCGGAGGGCTCTGACAATCAGGTAGCTAGGTGAAGTGCCAACATCCCTGACCAGACCTGGGCCAGGAGAGTCTTTATTTGAATATTTATAAATTGGCAAGAAAAATAGATATAGCAAGGGAAATGAGTCAAACTAGGAAAGACTAGCTGAAGTAGGAAAGTGAAAAAGAAGGCAAAGCAAACCCAAACCCTGGCATCGATGAAACAAATATGCTGTCTGTTCCTTTAAAACTTACAATAATCTCTTGCGAAGATGTATCATGATGCCTGACGTTGGAATTGATTTTTTTTTTAAAAAAACCACACAAAGGGACAATTTAAGGCACACTGAATGCAGCCACTTATTGCAGCTCGAGTTTGGCAGCACTGAATACTCAAGGAGCAAACCGACCTTGGAGTTAACTCCTCCTGAGCACGGACGTTGAGGCTGCACAGGCTGCCAGCAAGAACACAGAACCAACACACGTCTACCTCTTTCTCTGCGAGGGAAGAGACTCCAAAGCAATTGGCAGAAGTGCCGTCTCACCAGGTCCTGGCACAGAAGATGAGACTTAAGATCTAATCCTGACTCAGCTGTGGATTCTTGATGTGACCTCAGGCACGTCACCCATGTGTGTCCCAGTTGCCTCATCGAGTGGAGACTCCCTGGAGGCACTAGGCAAATTAACGTTGCAATAGGTGAAATACTCTTTGAAACTGCAGAGCATTATAAACATGTTAAATGTTAGGATTGTTACCACCTGAGTCACAAACAATACTTCCTGCAACACCTAGGTTTTCTCTCTGAGAATTTCTTGGCCAAATAGTGGCACTGCCCATTCCTGCTCCGTGCCAAAGAAGGGATGAGTCAGGGCACACCATCAGTTCCCTACCGGGCTTTACACGCAGTAACTTTTCAAACAGCGAGGCTGGGCCGTCTGGAGAACGGGCCCAGGGGAAGATCTGAGGACTACAGAATCTCTTCGGGCCTTTCAGGTCTTTAAAAAATTCAGACCAAACCCCGGAGAAAGCAGACATTAAGTTGTTCAGGCTGCCTCACCACGCTTTGATGGATATGAGAATTTACGTATAAACACTTAAGTTCCTGTATCCGTGTTTGATGGAGATCTGTCGGGAGAGCCCCACATCTTACCCAGTTCCTTTCTGAACAGGATGCGAATTTCATGCCTCCACCCCTCTTTTAGTGACTTTCACATTTAGCACCTCCTCCATTTCCGGATCCCAAGACTCTGAGAGCATTAAAAGTTGCCGTCATGGGGGAAAGGTCTGCCTGGCTGACACTGGTATGGCCAGGAGGAGTGTGATTGTGGGTGAGGCTAACCGAAAAACTCTGTGGGTCAATAAAGTTTAGAAACTTCCTGATGACTACTGGGGCAACTACGCCCAACCTTTTGAGAGCACCTGTCATCTCGCTAAGTCCAAATAATATACAGTCCTTTATGAATGCATTCCTAGTCTTTGCTGCAGAATTGTTCATGGGACTGACTAGGATGCTAAGTGAAGGTGTGGGAGGAAACTTTCATGGCCTTTCTGTATTCGCACGGTGGCAGGATGGTCCTGGAAAAGTTAGATGTGCTGGGGAGAGGTTCATCAATGCCAGCAGGCGGCCAGATTGGAGACCACGGGCTTGGCAATTAAAAGAAAGCCGAGGGGTGGGGAGGGTTGGTGAGTGAGTGTTATTTCAGCTAAACTCAGACTATTTCTATTACAATACTTTATGAAACTTTGCCTCCAATGGGAATTTTGAGAACAATTTTTCCCAAAAAAGTATGTTAACTGGTATTCTCAGCCAAAAAGACTCCATGATCCCGTAAGTTTGAGAAAGGCTGGTTAAACAAAGTCAGACAGGTTTCTTTACTGAAGACCTTCTCAGAGCATTTAATACGCCAATGTGTGTGACGAATCTTCAAGATGGGAACATGGTATGAAACTTCTCAAATGTATTTGGCTCTGGAACTCTCCCCGCTGCTGCTGCCGCCTACACAGCCTCATCTTATAGACCTGGTATGCTGAGGAACACACTTTGGGGAATAGCGCCTTAGAAAAACATGCTTGCCCACTCTGTTGGGTGACTCAGGATGGACACGCTACAGACGACACCACCAAGGAAGGCTTGACCTTGTCACCCTTCTTCTAAAAGGGAAAAGCAAAGGTTTGCCTTGGGCATACGAGGCACAGGGTAGTGAGTCTTCCTGAGCTGAAACCTCCCACAGTCATTTATCAGCCGCTCATCTTATAAATGAAAACACATGCTGCTATTACTCCTCTTGGCCCATGCCTCCTCAGAATGGGAAATCTGATCCATATCAGACAGTGGAGGCAGATTGCCTGGGTGAGAATGTTGGTTCCACCACTTAACTAGCTGAGGGAGTTCAGTTTCCTCATCTGTAAAGTGGGGTAATCATAATATCCACTACTCAAGGTTGCCATGAGGATTACATGCAACAACCCGTGAAAAGTACTTGGTTCACTATTGCCCAAAATACGAAGGCAAAGTGAGTACCAGGCTGGGGTGACCTTACTTCCGAGAACATCAATGAATCCTTACAATTAGGAGGAGGCAGAGTTGGGACTTGAACCCACGCTAGACTCTGAACAGCTGAGACTCTGGGCAAGAATGCTTCTGCCGCTAGTGGCACCCTACACACATACCATTGGGGGTCCATAAACCCGGGGTTGAGAACCGTTGCCTCCAAGCACAAAGTGAAGGGCCGGGGGGGCCCAGTGCCTTCCACAGCCTCCTCCACTCTCTGTGCTTGTGTAGTTATTGACCCCTATCAAGCGGAGGACACCCGGGGCAATGTTCTCAAGCTTTTAACCACAAAATAATGAGAATTTTTTTGTTTTATCAGACTCCGATACTTGCCATACTATCATCGGGTAAAGTGATGTTATCACCTAGTTTCTATGCCTTTTGGCCCTTTTCATTTGGCAAACATTGATTCTGTTTGTTTGTTTAACTGAAAATAGTTCATCCTGGCTTCCTGGAAGGAGGAGGATTGGTTCTGTTGAAACAGCAAAAATATTGTAGGGTTTTATGAAATCAGTAAGAAGGTGGGGGATAGGAGGCGTGGCTGGACAGCAAGCCCTACGGAGCCTCGCACCTTGCCGTTGTTGGAAGCAAACTTGTTATTTAGGCAATTCAGATTGTTTAACCTTAGCACCAAGATGTGAGGTTTCACTCAGGAAGAAAGCCTAGATTGGAGAAAGAACACCCCATCGCCCCATCGTGTAAATTACCCCACAGCTGATGAGTCAGGCGCAAGTGGCCTGAAACGAGGTTGGGTGGAAATGCATTTATGGAAAAATTATTTTTGTGAAGTCCCAAACATAAGATGAATAATTTGAGTTAGTTTACAGAAGTTAAAACAGGTCTGAACTTGCATTTTCTGTGAGCAAATCCTTAAAGCCCGAGGTCAGTTTATCATTGAAACCTGCTAGAGTTTCACCTTTTATAAAGTACTTTTAGACCTGGTGTCGGGCACTGTCTTTTTGACGTTTGTCCTTCAGGGCCCCGAGATTATGTGACAATGCTGACTCCTTTGGTTTTCTCCTCACAGTGTGCCCGGTTGGACACCATCGTCTCTAAATATCCTGCAGCTAATGCGTACACCCTCCCTTCACATTTTATTTCGAAGAAAGACTTCAGTAACTCCTGCTCCAGCATGTTCCAGCTGCCAAGCTTCGCGAAAGTTCTCAAATTTGAAACTCCTGCACCAAACCATTACAATGTAAGAACTTGCATCTGCTTACTAAAGATATATTGAATGAATGATTTACTAAAATAAAACAAAGGAAGCAGGAACTTTGGGAAATAGCATTTTAATGCAATTGGTAAACCAGGCAGTATTTGTTGATGGGTGTATGAGGCTGTGCGAGACTCTAACAGGGAATTTGCAGAACCCAGATAAAAATGTGAGCCACCTGGAGGTCAGTGTGGAGCAGTGAGAAGACCACTGCCCTGGAAAGTACTTATGGTCATCCCGCCCGTCATCTAATCTTTCTGGGACAGTTTTCTCATTTGTAACAATGAGTATGTTATTTACCACTTTATCTGCAGGCACTATTCATTTACTTTTTAGGTCCTTATAGAGAAAATAAGCTTCTGTCTTTCCATATCAGAAAATTGGTTTTTTAACAGTAGCATTCTGCCAGTTACGATCACTTTGTAGTCACCAAGGCAGAACGGTATAATTAATGGTTAAGAGAAGGAGTCAGGTTCAAATTTCAACTCACTTTCTAACTGTGTGGCTTTGGCTGAGCCCCTTAACCTTTCAGGATTCAGTTTGTTGATCTGTAAGATGGGGATATGCCACCACTTCATAATGTTAATGCAAATATTAAGTGAGGTACTGGCACCCAAGAATCCATAACACACGGAGATCAGTAGAGCTGTCTATGGGGAAGTCGTGTTACCTCTGAGCCTCAGTTGTAAATGGAATTAATTATACTTGACCTACAGGGTTGTTATAAGAAGCAAATGAGACAACGCACGTGAAAGTGCTCTGAAATACATGACATGAATTGTACATAAAGTATTAATGTTATGCCGTATTTCAAAATATTTTGGTCTCAGAATACATTTTAAGTTTCCTTTTTCTTTTATATTATTATAAATAATATTTATATGGCTGAGGTATAAAGATGGAGAGTGGTCACCGTGTTCTAACCCAGCTGGGCTTCCCTTCATGGATCCTGTGGCTACTCTGTGCCAGACCAGTGATATGGCTTAAATTCCAATGGGGAACTCAAGACCAGAACTAGTAGATAGACAAACAAAATAGTTACAAACTGTGGTCAGCTTTAAGGGAGACAAACAGTTGAAGCCTGAGAGAGAGAATATGTGAGGGGTGTGGGGGTTGGCAGTACCATGTACTTTAGACTGGGTGCTCAGAGAAGTCTCTGAGGCTGAGACCCAAGGATTGAAGGAAGAGCCAGAGTTTGGGGAACAGTATGTGTAAAGGTCCTGGGACAGCAAACAGCTTAGCCCAAGGGGAACAACAAGAAGGTGGCTAGAGGAGCATGAGCTAGGAAGAGAGGGGATGAGGGGAAGCCAGACAGATAAGCAGGGGCCAGTTCCTTCAGGGTCCTAAAGATCCCAGGGGAGAGTTCAGATTTTGTTCTGTGTCCTGGGAAGCCCTTAAGGGGGATAGGAGGTGTAGGGCGATGTCATCTGATGTACTTTTTAAAATATCTCCCTCCACAACTAGAAGGACGTGCAACTAAGATACACAACTGTGTACTGGGGGGGGGGGGGGGGGTTGGGGGAGATAAAGCAGAAAAAAAAAATAATATCTCCCTTGAGCAGCTGTATGGAGAATGGACTGCAGTGTGGGCTGAGGGTGGATTTTGGAAAACCAGTGAGGAGGCTGTTAGACTAACAGGAGAGAGATCGAGACCTTGTCTGAGAAAGTGATAATGAAGGTGCTTGGCTGTAGCGCCTTTGCCACTCCTGAGAGAGGCCCGGGTTACCTGGGAGACAAGCATAGGCTGACTGTCTCCATGTGCGTGCTGCTCTCTGTATCTTCCTGGTTGCAGCTGAAGGATGCTGTAGTTAGTGCCCAGCCCAGCGTGCTCCTTCACCCGGCTTCATATCTCCAATGCCTAGCTCAGCTGCTGGTATGCAGTAAGCATGCAATAAATGTTTGTGACATCAGAGGAATGACATCCCAGTAGTAGACAGTTGTTAATGTAGAAAAGACCATTTCCCAAGTCAGCATTCTGTCCTGCCAACAGATCAATTGTCGCTTGCATGCGTTTTGTTCATTATTGTTTTAACGTGGCTCTGAAAATAATACGTGTTCATCATGAAATATACTCAAGCATTAGAGAAACCCCTGAACTAGAAAGTGGAAGTCCCTGATAATTCTGCTCCGCAAAGCGAACCACCATCCACACCCAGGTGCAATTTCTTCCACACTCCCTTCCTCCCCTCGTCCCTCCCTCCAGTGTCAGGACTACACTGTCTGCAGTACACGTGCATTTTCTACTTAACTATATCTTGGATCTTTTTTTCCTGTGGCAATACAATAAGTCAGCTTCATTCTTTTTTAACCTGCCAGTGGAGCTATTTTCCTAGTCGAATGGTGGGATCTTCCAGTGACGCACACTCAGTGTGTACAAAAATGCCCCCTTTTCAGTAGCGTTTCCGTCTGGGTGAGGAAGAAAGCTGAGGTCGTGTTTTGTCTACAGGAGGCTTTTTCAGACCTGGAGAACAATGGTTGAGTCAACGGGCGAGGAGCAGAGAAGCGATAATCCTGTTAGCCACACTGTGCACGGAGGTCTGCCGGGGCCTTTCTTTGCCTCTGCGCACCAGGGTCCCCCACTTCTCTATTTGAATCCCTTTCCTCCGTACCGTGTTATTACTTCCTCTCTGGCTCTTCTCTGTGAGCCCAGTAATTAGCCTGTTCCATCTGATCTCGTTGTTTGCGCTCTCTGCATGCAGTCTGGCCTTTAGGACCCTGGGAAAGCAAAATTCCTCCGCCTTTGTCAACACAAAATCAAAATGCCCTCTGTGTTTCTTGAGAAACATTTTTTTGACAAAGGAATATCACCGAAAATCAAAGCATCCTGGTCCCAGCAAATAGTTTCGCTCATTCAGTAAATACTCCCAGCCATCGCAGACACAACTTTTATTGCCTCTTTTATCTAATGAATACAGGGGACAGACTGCAAATCGGCATTTAAAATATTTGTGATTCATGTGTAACGTAAGAATGAGCTCAGGTTTCCCTTTTCCCCTCTTAGTTTTAGAGTTCTGAACACTCTCAAGTGTATATTGCGTGGATCAGCCAAGATTCTTCATTTCTGGTCAGTCCAGAAAAGTCAAGACAAGGGTGCTTACAAATCTGATCTTAAATTACATGATTCCCTTGTATGCCCCCAACCCTGTGTTTATAGAAGGGCTGTTGAACGGTGAGGAGTCAGGTGGGCATGTGTAGGGCGAAGTGTTCTGAGGAGAATAAGAATCCTAGGAAAAGTAATGAAAATAATTTGCCTTTTGAAAAACACTTTCCTACAGATGATTTCCGTTGACCGCCTGCCTCCTCACCCCAGCAGCGCTCTGCATCAAGGAGCGCCTCTGATCCGTTTCACAGACGAGAAAAAGCTCAAGTTCAGAGAAATGGAACAATTGTGCAGGGTCGCACGTCCCGTGCACAGCAGAGGCCAGCCCAGAAGCCGAGTCTGTGGGCTGCCTCCTCCGGGCGCCGTCCTCCATGCCACGCTGGGTCACCAGCCATCTGTCTGCTGGTGACCACAAACTCATCGACCCCTCCGGCTGGGGTGATGGTGAAGGCACAGTTGGCGTGACCTTTTCCACTCGTGTCTGCTCATTTTCTGAGGGGGACAGGTTTAAATGTGATGTTTTACCCAAATGTGCCTCTCGTCCAGGCACAGTGACAGAGACAAAGAAAGGGAAGGCATTGAGCACACTGTCTTTATTTTCTCCCCAGGCCTCTGTCTCTTGCTGCAAGCAGAAAAATAACGTCTGTGCCCGAGCCGGGTTTATGTCGAAGACTCAGAGAGGATTTTTCACAGTTCCTGAGACAGGACCTGCCCCAGGTGAGTGGCCTTGTGCTGGCCTTGACCTGAGGGCTGATGTACCAGGTCTCATCCATCAGCAGGGCCGGTCCCTCACAGGGAGTCTCTCTAGAAGGAGCTAGGCTTTGGGGGAGAGGGGGTGGAGGGAGATACTGAACAAAGAGGAGAAGACCGGCTTCCCCCTTCATGGGGAGGTTGGCTGGCTCTGGAAGTGGACCACAAAGCAGCCACGTGGTCCTCCCCTTTCACCTGCTCCAGGCAGGTAGGTGGGGAAGTGGCCTCTCTCTCAGAAGTATGCACCTTCCCCTACCCGCCCCCCCCCACTCCGTCACATGCCCTGGGGGGAGGAAGAGGGGGACACACAATGCTCTGGACCCTCCCACACTCAGCCCAGCATTCCTTGTCTCCTGTGCCTAGAGGCAACTTCATCATCCAGGCATCAAAGGATGGAAATATCTCTGTTTACTCCGCACTGTTTCCCATGCAGCCCTCACTCATCTGTCCTCCTAGGGCTGTGCTCTTAAGTCCTGTGTTTCAGGCGAGGAAATGGAGGCGCGGAGAGCTGAAGTGACTTGCTCAGTGTCGCAAAGCTAATCAAGGGCAGACCGAAGCCCAGAGGTGTGTGATGGAGGAGCCTCTTACCCCATCATTCCGTTGTGACTTCTGAAACCTCCAGGATTTGGCATGCACCGAGGCTGGCCTGAAAACGTTCTCCCCGCCGGGCTGGGGGAGGCCTTGCACCACTCCTGTGCTTTCAGATCTCCTCCCCCTGCCAGCCTTGGTGACGGCTTGCCAGAGAGGTCCGGGGAGGCTGCAGTCTGCGCTCCAGGAGCACACAATATATTAGAGCTTCCCAAATGGGTCCTGAAGGCCTTCAAGGAGCCTTGGGCCCCAGAGCCAAGACGAGGAACGGGGAGAGCTGGCCTCTGCAATCACGCCTCTTGGAGGGGGTGTGGGTAAAATTCCAGCACATGTCAGATTTCAGCAAATCCCAGTTAAAGGTGAGAAGATCAGTCTGAGCTGAAAAATCACACGAGCCCTAGTGAGGAGGCTCAGCCCCTGTGAAGCCCCAGCCTGCAGCATCCGAGGCAAACCCAGGTGACAAAGCCGGCCTCCCTGGGGTCTGGCCAGAGGTCCTGCCAGTGAGCCCTGGGATGTGGGCACCCACTCCCCCCAGGAGGGTCCTGAGGGGCCCCTGGCCCCTTGTAACAGAGCAGGAGGGGTGGGAGGGGGGACACCAGTGTCTGTTAAGCTCCTACTGTGTGCCTGAGGCTTTACATTCGTTATCCCATTGAATGCGCTCAAAACCCTGGAGCATTTGTCTGGTACATAATCACGTGCTCGGAAAGCATGAGCTATTATTATTATCATTGAAAAGGGCAAAAATTATACATAGCTAGAAGGTAACGAGCCCAGGGTCCCACACTGGGATTTTATCCAGGCCCATCTGGCTAGGTGCCTCGATGCCTGGTGCCTTCAGGACAAACACTCCATCCCCCACCCCCAAACTTGCCAGGGCCAGAGCCTGGGGGATCTCAGAAATAACGCTGTGGCTGTGGTGTCTGCTTCGCCCCCTGTGGGAAGAAACCAGGTGTGGAGCCGTGATTGGCATTCCTGCCGTGTGCCCACAGCTCTGAGGGCCCGGGCTGCGCCTGGCCCGCCTTCAGTCCTGAGCAAAGTGCTCCCCTGTGCACATTCACTGATCGGGTTTTCTCAGTTTGCATGTGCTGAGCACAAGTCAGGCACACCCCCAGTGTCCTCCTCCCTCTTTATTTTTCCTTTAATAAAAAAGGTTATAGAACTTGGGGACATACCTGCATCAAAGTGGCATGAGAAATGCGGGTTACAGAGGTGAATCCATAGGCAAGCTCGACACCCTGAGACAGTCCAGCCCCACTCAGGAAAAGATGGAAGTCGATACACCGGAGCCTTACCTCGGTTCTCTCTGGGCCGTGGGGGCGTGAAAGCCTTTTCTCCCTTGCTTCTGCTTTTTAGCATTTTATAATCAAGTATTGCTTTAAACTTGTTTTGGTGGGGAAAAAATTTAAAAATATATATATATATGAAAAAGAAACAGAAAGATAATTTGAGAGATGTAAAGCTAACTGGATATCTATTTTTTTAACTTAAGCATATATTGAGAACATCTTTTCATGTTATAAAAATCCTCCCAGGGCACCTTTTTAGTGGTTGTATAGTATTCCATTGAATGGCAGGACAGTAAGTTAAGGAATAAATTCCCCCTTGTTGGAAATTTAGGTTGTTTTAAACTGATCGCTGATAGAGAGTGGCACAAATATCCTTGTAGCTCACACTTGTGTACAATCAAGATTATTTCCTTATGTAAATTGCCTCAAGTGAAATTGCCAAGTCAAAAAGTGTGTAAAATATTTAAGGTTTTTGATATTTGTGACCAAGTTACCCTTCAGCACAGCTTCTCCGAGGCACCTGTTGTCCTCACCTTTGCCCCCACTGGGTATGACCGTTTAAATAAAATCCTGCTAATATGTACCATATCGTTGTTTTCAGTACTTTTGCAAAGGAAAAGTAAAGTTTTACTTAAAGCAAAATCCACTTTACAAAGTTTAGAAAATTTGAAATATTTTCCCACCCACAATGCCATCGCTAATATAATTGTAATATAACTTTTATAGTTTATAATGTAACTTTTCTGGGTTCCAACCTGTTTTTACTCAGCCGTATCCATTTGTACATGGACGTCGTCTTCGTGTGTATAGACTTTTTGGCTTTCTTTTAGTTTTTTCATCCTTTCATTTTCAAAAACATTGCCGTGTGGCTTTATGACGATCTTCGTTTTCGTCACCGTCAGGGCTGCCATGCCACCAGGAGGGGCTGTCGTTCCCATGACCGCCCCTGGACCTGGCCATCCAGGCTGTTTCTCCTTTCTCACATTGTGGCCACTGCTGTTGTGCGCACCTTTATGCTTAGAGCTTTTCCATTAGGTTGAATAACTTCCTTAATTTCTGAGTAATGAGAAGCGGCCGTCAAAGTGTGCAGATGCCTTCAAAGCTGTGGCCTCCTGCTGCTGTTTTGCATTCCGAAACCCCTGCACCCATTCACGGGGCTGCAGACGATTTAGCGGGGAGACTGCTTCCTCTTCACCCCAGCTCAGATCATTCTCTTCTTCCTTAAAGCTTTGTGCACACTCACATTAATTGTATTCTGTCACAGTGTCTTGAGGTGGGGCATGGTGGGAAAGCATGGACTTTGGAAACAGGTGGCCCTGGGAACACAGAGTAGGTGCTCCATAAATGTTTGTTGATTGCATAATAGTTACTAAACAACTACTATGTGCCAAGAACCTAAAATGTCATTCAAAGATCATACCACCCTGTTGTTGGAAGAATTGCTATTCTTACTTTATAGAGGAGCAAGCTGAGCTTAGTCCCTGGTTAGATGAATGTCTTTCGGCAAATTAGTTAATCTCTCTGAGTCTTAGGTTCCTAGTGTTTAGGATGGAGGTGAGAATACCCATCTTGCTGGGCTGCCGGGAGGATTAAATGAGCTCAGGACGTGGTGCGTGTGGCACATGTTCCCTCTGTGGTATTATTTTTAGTTATTTCAGGCAGCCCCTTCCATTTGACCGTTCTGGAGTGATACCGCCTTGAGGTCATTCAATATCTTCTTAGGCGGAAAATACTGCTTTTTATTTATTTAAGAAAAGTTCTTTATTCTGTTTTAAAATTCCTTTCTGCTTAGGGCATTATAATGTCAACGAATCCCTTGTGAAGCAGTCGCCAAAGATATTAATGTCTTGTTTTAAATCGAAAACTGGCCGTGGATTGAAACTGACGTCAACAGGCCCGGGACCCGGTTATTACAACCCAAACGACCACAGCAAAATTCCGAAAAAGTCTCTTTTCCCGTGAGTCCTGATCATTCTGATCTTTCTTCTGGACGGTGGTTCTGGGGAAGGACCCAACATGGGTGGGGAAGCAGGAGGAGTCGCTGGCTGGGCAGACACAGCGCTGGGTTGCTCTCCAGGGACCCTCCCTGACATAGCAGGTGCTCAATAAATACTGTGGGATGCGTGATATTTACTGAGCAACTATGTTGTGCGGGGGCTTCACATCTTACTCAACTGTCACATTAACTCTCTTGTAAGGATTATCCCTCTGACTCCATAGAGGCAGAAGCTAGGCTCAGTGAGGCTGCGAGATTTGCCTGCGTCCTCAGAGCCAACTTGCCGTGCCACTGGCAATTAGGCCCGGGACAGCCGTGTTCCTCACAATGCTGTGCCCTCCTGGTGCTGACATTATTCTATTTTTATAACATAACATTTCCACTGGGGTGGGTGGCAGGAGATACAGAAGCAGTGCCGCTCTCTAGTTTGGTACTGATAGGATAGAAGCCCAGACTTTAGAGCTGGTCAGACCTGCTGGATTTGAACATCAGCTCTGCTGTTTTCATGCTGTGTAACCTTGGGCACTGTACTAACCCCTCTGGGCCTCTATGCTGAAAAGTAAAGTGGGGATGATTCATGCCTCACAGTGTTGCTTTCAGATTTAAAAATATCTATTTGGCATATAGGATGTGCAAATATGGTGACTGAATATTAACACAAATTTGAAAAGTGAAGACAGAGATTTTGTTACCATTTTAAGTTTAATTTGTGTTATATTTAATGTTACTTTCACCTAAGATGCTCCAAAATGCACAGGGCTTTTTTATTCCTTAGAATGTTCTAGAACTTCTAGAACTAACTGCAGTTAAGGTCAGTCATCCCGTCGCTATCTAAGACCTCACCCTGTACAGTCCTCTCCAGGCAGGACTGTGGCTGTTAGGAGGCTGACCAGCAGGGCTGGGACTGAGCCTGTAGCCACCTGGGCACCTCCAGAGAGGTCAGGCAGGGCGCCCACAGCCATGGTGGGCCGGAGGTCGGGGCAGCCCAGGGAGGTTGGCGACGTTGGGTGTCCTCTGCCCGTCAGCCCAGGGCCAGGAGACAGGGTTAGGGAGAAGAGCAAGACATGCCTGCCGGGTCAGACTTCGGATCTGGAGAGGGGATCCAGAGCTGGGATGGAGTCCTCGGGTAAGTCCCTTCTGCCCTCTGGTTCTGGGGTTCTGCAGTTGACCCTTCACAGGTGCCAGCGCTTGGGACGGGGGCAGGAAAGTCTCCAGGAAAGGCTGTCTCCAAACCTCAGGGACGCCCTGCTTCCACTGCCCACTGCTCTCCCCGACTCTGCAGGCAAACAGGGAGGGCGAGAGGCCGGGCTTCGGAGTCAGCAGACCTGGGGGCACTCCCGGCCCTTCTCGTGGAGACTTCTCTCTGAGCCTCAGCTTCCAGGTGACTAAGCAGAGATAAGGGTCTTCTCTCCCAGGGGCTCTGCGAGGGTTAGAGGAGAAAGTGCTTGAAAATAGAGTTGCTCTTCCTGTTAGAGCTGCTGTAACTCTGTATCCTGTAGGCATACAAGGGTATAGGTCGTAGCTGCTATTTGGCATGGCAGCTCAAGCCCCCAGCCTGACTCTGGAAGCTTCTTCAAGGAAATGGTGGAAGGAGAGTGGAGAATGCTCAGTGTTGCACTGCCTTCCCCAGAGAAGCGTCCTCTGGCCTTTGCTCAAGTTTCGACCAGCGGTTTGAGATACTCTCATTTTACGGCACGTGCTTCTGTCAGTCAGCGGGCTCTGGAGGTTTCCGGTTCTGTGCTGGAGGCTGTGGGGTGCTCAGGTGAGCAGAACACCATACACGCCTTCAGCCAAGCTCCCCTGGGAACAACTCCAAAGCAAGGCGGAGGAGCGTGCAACAAAAGGCTGCATGGTGTGGGTCCCAAGGCTGTGGGAAGGGCAGTGTTTCCAGCTGGGGCACTGCAGGAGTGCGGGCGTGTCTGGGGATGTCTGGGGCTCACTGTGATGCTTCGTGAATGACAGATCCTTGGTTAATAAGCTTCAGAAGCACGGCATACGATCCCTTTGCCCCTAGGAGCATCTCAGTGTCCATGAGCTCATTAAAGGCTCTGAGGAGGCCTGCAGTAAAGTATTTGTTACATCCAGTGTCTCAAACTTAGGTTCACCCTGCTGAGTGGATAGCTTCCCAGCCCTTGTCCACAAGCCTAGACATTTGTGTTAATTGGCTCTGTGGCCTGGGGCTGCTCTCAGAACCTCTCTGGGCCTTCATTTCTCCACGTGTGGAAAAAGGGGAGGTCTTTCCATTTCTGACACTCTATGACTCCAGGTTGGCTCGCCATGTCACTCAGGAGAGCATACAGGGGACAGTGGACATGGAGCCAGCCTGGACCCACAGGGGAGGTCCAAAATATATCTTTTCAAATTGAAGTGGAAAGGATGAAGCTGAGAAATTTGTAATTTCATTTCAAAAGCAAGAACATAAAACTGAAGTGTGCTTTGGGTTATTCTAAAAGAGTATCCATCTGTCCATGCTGAATGATGAAGAAAGTAACACAAGAGAAAGAAAAGATACAGCTGTTCGTTGTAGTGTTGAGAGAGTCTCAAGTCCTGGTCTCTCGGATTTGAGTTCTGTTTCCTTTGCCATGTCCCTGGAGGGAAGAGAGGGACAGGAGTGCCTGAGGCCATGTGCTGGGACTGTCAGGGCCCTGAGAAGATCTGTGTTATTTCTTCTCCGTCTATGGGTAACTTTCCATGAGCCCTTGTCCACAACAAGCCTAATCACATTTCCATCTCTGGGGCTGTGCAGGACAGTGGGGGACAATCCGAGAATTGTCACTGAGTTTCTTTTTCAGAGGCACACGCAGCCCAGGTTTCACTGGTGTGTGACGGATGCGAGGCCTGCCCTTATTTGTCTTGGGTTGGACATGCTTGGCTCACCATTCTTGGGTAGCGTTCCAACTTGTAAAAAGCTATTTTGGCTCTGCTTTCTTTAGGATGCCAGGAGAAGCAGGGGAGATGTTAACGCTCCCTGGGGTTGCTAGTCCCATGTTACTGACCAACGTAAGGGGAGCCCAGAAAGGCTAGAGGCCGGGTGACAGGATGAGAGCCCTCAGGAGCCCTCAGGGGCCGAGAAAGGGCTGGTCTGTCTCCACTCCGCCTGCTGGCCTCCCGAGCTGGGAGTGGGCTGCAGAGGCTGTGTTGTCCGTGGGTGTAAGGCAGGCTGTGCTGAACCTCCGGTCCTCGCTCACCAGGGGCGGGAGTCACTTCACTCCCGGGAATTCCAGTCCGTCCTCCGTGAATCAGGACAAAAATACTTCCTAATGTGCTTGCAGGGGTAGAATGAGAAACTCACAGAACTCACCAGCTTGGGCGCACGGTTCCCTTTCGCTACGTGGAGCTGTGTTTTTGCTGAAGGGTGTGAGTGGGGCCTCCACACTCCCCTGATGTTTGTTGAGCGGCCCTATGGGGAGAGGCCGTGCTAGGGGCTGGCAGGGCGTTAGCGAGGGCGTTTCTGGGCTCCTTAGCTGAAAAACATGTCACAGGGTGTCTCTTTGCTCTGGCCACCGTGCTGACTGAAAAGCTAAGAGGATTTATTGGCTTCCAGAGGGTCTTAGAAGAGAAGTGAAGTGTCAGCCCGGGTTTCACTGCTTCTGGTCTTCAGCGTTTGTCACAGCGATGGCTCAGTGACTCAGGGTGAGTCAGGACCAGGGCTTTTAGAGATGAAAATGGTTCCTCCCAGGGCCTGCCTTTCAACTCAGCTCCCCAGCAAGGAGGGGAAACACCCACTGACACCTTCCTAACCCTTGATCTACTTCCTGGAGGTTTAAGCCACTGGTTTTGCACAGGCACGCTGTCCTGTCACAGCCAGAGCCCAAGAATCAAGCCCTGTTGGCTCCACTCCAATTTGGGTAATTGCGTTGGACCCACCTAAGGTTCCCCTGGGATTTTCAATTAGATATGGGATGTGTCTTCCCAAGCGGCTGTCATCTGTCACCCCTGCCCTGTTAAACAGATCCTGCATTCCACCCCAGGGGCAATCGGCTGCCCTTTAATGATGAGAAGAAATTGCCCCTTTCTCCCTCCCGACCCTGGGAATCCCCGAAGCAGAGTGAATCTGTGCCTGGGAGTGTCCCCAGGGTCTCGCTGCCTTCCCCCAGTGACCTGCTGAGTGCTCTGAGACATTCATTATTCTTGGGCAATTTTCAAACGGCTCACGTTGGAAGCTGCTAACACACTTAATCCAGTTGTGGCCAACTCAGAGCCTTTGATAGATGTTTTCTTTCCACGGGGCAGGACCAGCTTGGCTTTTATAACTGAGCAATGAGGCTCATCAAAGTCCCGGTCACAACGCACCGTGGGCTGCCCTGGGCTCGGTCCAGCCTGACCTTTGTGATTTGCCCAGCCCCACAGGGACATGGAGGAACCAGCCCTGGATGTTGATAAATTGTCAGGGGGATTCAGATGTCTGGGCTCCCATGCTTGCTTGCTTCAACCCTCTCCTCTTCTCTGCAGTTCAGCAAATGTCCCGGGAATAGGGACGGGGGCCTTAACGATGAGTCAGACACCATCCCCCCTTTAAAGAGCTAGGCAAGTAAAGAGTGTAGTCAATCTAGCATGTTCTGTGCAGAGAAGAGAAGAATGAAGGGCTAGAATGTATTGAGGGGCCAGCTACACTGGGCTCAGAGATTTCATAGATATTATCTAGTGTCACGCTTCCAACCCACCAGCAGGTGGGTATTGTACACAGAGTTTACAGATGCAGTGCAGACTCGCCAACAGGGCAGGGCAGGGCTGGAATCCAGGGCATCTGACTCTGAAACCCAAACCCAGGCTCCTCTGCAGGCCCACAGGGAGGGATGTGAGGCAGGGGTGAAGGCAGTGGCCGGGGAAGTTTCTCTAAAGGAGTGAGAAGTGGAGAGTGAATCAGAGTTTGCAGGGATGTAGGTGCTCCTGGCAGAAGGAAGAGCATGACAAAGGCACCGGCTTGCTGGCAGTGCTGTGTTGGGTGTTTCTGGAAGGTAAATGGGGAGCCGGGGCCTGGGAGATGAGGCTGGATTGAGAGGCATGAATGGGAGCTTCTCCTTCAGCTTCTGATCAGGGTCAGTAAGGGGGATGGTCAGACACGTGGGTGGTTGGGGGCTGGAGGCAGTGTGGCAGGCCCAGCCTCTGCCTCCTCCTGTCCCCACTCTGCCCCATGGAGCTACAAGCTTGTCCCTCCTCTGGGCTTTTGCCCCGGCTGTTTCCCGCTGGCAATGCTTCCTCCTCCACCTTTTCTGCTCCGAGGATTCCTGCTCCCCTTTCAGGGCAAATGCTGTCCCTGCTAGGGTAGCTTTCTGGAGTCCCTCAGTTGGAATTTGTCTCTCTTTCTGTGCTCTCAAGGCAGAGTTTTACCTCTGTTCTAACATTTCGTGTTTGAAAGCAGTAATACCGGTAAAGCACTAGTTAATCTTCCTCTCAATCCTGGGGGCCGAATTGTTATCCACCGTTTCACAGATGGAGAAACAGAGGCTGAGGGAGGCTCAGAGACTTTTCTAAGGACACACAGCTGGTGAACGGGGACGAGGAGAGTCAGCCTCAGGTCTGTCCACCAGCAAGTCTGTACTGCCTTAAGTCACCGCCAGTCGGGATTGTCTCTAGCAAGGGGCTGCCAAGCCCTTGGGAGCATTCAGGGTCTGTGTCTGAGCACAGAACAGTCTGGACTCCCCAGAGTACCTGGCAGAGAGCCCCCCACGTGGCTGACGCTGGTCAAAGATCCAGAGAGGGGAGCTGACGGTGCCGAGCCTCTCCAGGGCATGTAGACGGAGTGGAGGGCGAGGAACCCCTCTAGCCCATTCTCACCATGAGTGCGGCCGAGACACTGACCCAGCCTGCCTGGCCTCCTGTAGGCCGTCCCTGCTTTGGAAAGGAGACACCTCATGATTTTCTTGGGGATGACCCAGACTGTGGGGTGACTTCATACAATGCTTGGCTCCTTCCACCTCTGCCTTCCAGGAATCAAGCCTGTCTCTCAGTGACGCCAGCCACACACTCATCCAATTTCTGGGGATGCTTTGAAGGGGTGGCACAAGCCAGAACGAGGAGAAGCCAGCTTTTCTTTATAAGGGGAGAGGCCATGGATCGCACGCTGGGGCGGTTCTTCCCTGCTGACTGGAGGGGAAGAAAGGAGGCAACGTTTTTTCTCCTTTTCCTGTGGGCACCTTTCTTCTAAATATAAGCATCCAAGCCAGCTGTGCCTCCATCATGCGATGTGAGCCTCCAGCACATTTACGATGGCCTTCCATAGTCTCCCCTGGCGGTGGGAGTGTCCACTCTGCCTCAGGGTGACTCTGGGTGAGGGACCCCCTAATCTCCCTGTCCTGAGGCTCGGTTGCTACTCTGTGACCAAGCAGCAGGCTGTGGTGCTGCAGGGGTCATAATAATGACTGCTTTTATTGAGCACCTACTGTGTGCTGGCACTATGCTAGGTGCCTGCATACCTTTTTTCCACTTATCAACTCACTTATAAAGAGTGAGTGTGGGTTGGTCCTTGCTGCAGGTCCAGAGAGGCCAGGGGACTTGTCTGAGGTCTCCCAGTCAGTAAGCGGCATGACTGGCATTCACACTCAGGTCTGTGTGGCTCCAAAACCTCGTCCCCTCTGCCATGAGGCCTTCCCCAAATTGCTGGGCACCTGAGACTTGACTTCTAGGCCTGGCATTACCACTAATGTGCTCGGTGACTTTGGGTGACTTACTTTTTCTCTCTGGGCACCAACTTTAGCAAAATAGGGAGAGTGGATAAGACACCTCTGGGTCCCCTCTAGTTCTCTGCTTAGGGAGGTGCTGGCCGAAGGGCAGTAGAGTTCCGGTGGCTGGGAATCCCGGTCCCCTCCTCTGTGTGGATGGCTTGGCTTTGGGCTGGGGTGAGGATCCTGTGGCCGTTTAGTGCTCTGAGAACCTTCTCTTCCCTTTTGGTGAGAGACCTTAGAAGAAGCTTCAGCGGTGAGGTGGGAGTAGGCAGCCCTTCTGTTGCACGGTCGGGAGAGTAACATGCCTCCCCGAACAGTCCCAGAATTCCCTGGGCAACCCAGTGAATCAAGGCCCGATGGGAGGGACCTCAGAGGTCATCGTGTCCAGCCCCCTCATTTTACAGTTGGGGAGACTGAGGCGCAGAGTGAACTAGTGACCTAGGGCTCAAGCACAGGTTCCATTTCTCTTTCACTTACTCTCAGTACCAGACGTAAAAGACCCGCTTTCCTGAAGGAGGGGAAGACAGATCTGAAAACAAACAGTTACAATGTAAGTGGTGAGTGTTATGCAGGTCTTTTAATTTTCAACCCAGTATTTTTCCACTCCTGCATCCTGCCTCACCAGGAAGATATTTCGTGGGATTCTGGAGTGTTAACACTGGAGTGGCCTCTAGGGGTCTGCTAGTCTTGGGCTGGCAAATCCCTGGAATTCGTGATGCCTCTCCCCCTTTCCTGGCCATGGCAGACATCACAAGTGGATCACCAGTGCTCTTGCCATGGAGCCCGTGGGAGGCCTCAGATCTTTCCACGGAGCTCTAGCCAGGCACTACTGATCGATCAGAGTTGGCACATGAGGTGATGCTATCTGCCATTCCTAATTAGCTTGACATCATCATCTGCAACAACGTGTACTGAGCTCTCCCTTTGTGCTGGGCCGTATCTTGAGTACCATGTTTTAGATATGTCGTCTCATTTAACACTGACAACAAGCCTACAAGGTAGGTACTGTTATGGTTGCCATTGTGCAGCCAAGGAAACTGAGGCCCGGGGGCCCCCAGCTCACTGGCAGTGGAGCCAGCAGAAACAGGTCTCGTGGTGCCACGTCCAGTCCTCCTGCAGACGACTGGTGCTGGGCAGGTCTTGGGTATGCCTAAAAACTACCATTTCCCCAATAGACTGCTTTGGTGACATCTTCACATTGTATCTTTTCTGAAGGAAAAACCCCATCCTGAACTTCTCTGCCCAGCCTTTGCCTCTGCCCCCAAAGCCACCTCTGCCGGGCCCTGGTCAGTATGAGATCGTGGACTACACGGGGCCCCCCAAGCATTTCATCTCGAGTGCGTCGTTCGTGTCCAACACCAGCCGGTGGACAGCGGCGCCATCCCAGCCAGGCCTGCCTGGCCCAGGTCAGAGGATTGTTTTAAATGATTGTAAAAGCCAAATCTGGAATTGTTTGTCATTCCTGGGCCATCAAATACCACTGATTTATAGGCTGTTTGCCAAACAGTTTACAGGGGTTAGAGTAGATCTGGAAGACTTTTCAGCTTACCCTTTCAGAGTGTTCCTTTTCTTTTTTTAAGGTGAAAGGGCTCTTAGAGATGATCCAGGCCAGGAATTCATAGCCAATGACCGTGAACGTCCAAGAGGCTCAAAGACAGGCTCCAGGGGGTCTGTGACCCTGAAATCATCTGCAGATTCAGAGCATGCAGACATTATTTTCTGGGGAAAGGGGCTGTAGCTTTTGTCAGATTGTCAAAAAAGTTCGTGTTCTTAAAAACGTCGAAATGACTGGTGTAGTCTAGCCGAGTCAGTTCGCAGACGGGGAAGGCCTGCAGAGCGGGGTGTGCACAGATCCACAGGGAGCGCCCCGCAGGGCAGAGTACAGGCGATTCCCCTCTCTGCCTCATTTGTCGTGAAATAAACCTGGGGTGCTCATGGGAGCAGTTCTTTAAACATGCAGTTCCATTCCCTGTCCGTGGATGAGCATAAGCCGGGATCCCCATACTGCTGGGGTCTCCATGAGAGCTGACAGCATGAGGGACTCGCTCTGGTGGGTAGTCTCTGTGCTCCCGACCTATCTGTTGCTCTCTATGCAGCCCCCTAGCTAATTCCCCCATTGACCGGAACTGGTGGCCTTGGGGACTCCCAGGTGGGCAGGTGGTGTGGGAGGAGGAAGGCAGAGCTGAGGTGGCTGCTGGCTCTGTTAAATTCAGTCTTTCAGTGAGCACTGATGATGCTCCAACCCTAGGGAGGCAAAGAACACTTGGGCCCCGTGCTTGCCCCCAGAGGCATCAGTCAGGTAGGAAGACACCTTCCTCTCCAACACACAGGTGAGGAAAATGTAAAGTAGACAGGACAAGGGAAAGCCATTCTTGTAGCTTCGGCCTTGGAAATGCAGCCATAATCAAGCCAACAAGACTGCAGAGGTTTGACCCTGGAGTCACCTGGTCAGTCCAGGCAGAACTCAGTTTGGTTCGGCAAATGCTTCCTATGAGCGGTGAGCTCCGGGCGGGAACCCATGCCTGACCCTGTTTGGTCCTGGCCTCTGGGAGCTTTTTCTGAGTCCTCTCCAGCCTGCGCACGGTGCGAGGCACCTGGCTCACGGGTGCAGGCCAGTTCCTGCTGCTGTGATCACCCCCGCCACGTGGGGCCTCCTGGGCTCACGCACACGCAAACATCTGCCTTCTCGGCTTCTAGTGGGCGCACATCTACCTGGACCGCCCTGTGCTCCCATCAGCCGCTTCCCAGGTACACCAAGAGCGCACCACCCCTCCTTAACCAAATCAGCGTCCACAGAGTTTCCAGTCACCCCCACTGGTGGTTCCCAAGCCCTCTGTGGTCCTGGCGGCTGATCTCCTGGGAACCATGCCTGCTCTTGTCATGGCTTCACTTCTCTGGAAATTTCTGAACTAAATCAATACAAAACCCCACCAAACTGACACCTTGCTTCTTTAAGTATATTGCTTTAACTCAATATTTGTTTCAAATTTCATAGAAAACTCTTTTGCAACTTTTCTCCTGTTAAAGAAGTTAAAATTAGTTAGAGAAGGTGGGACGCCGGAGTTCGAGTCCAGTTAAGAGCCGTGTAACCTCGGGCCAGTCCCTTCCTCTGTCTCCCCACGTGGAAGATGCAGGGGCCTTGCAGCTCCAACATAGAATACCAGAGACTGGAGCAGCTGGCCTGTGTCTCTTAATGCTGTCTCTCTCTCTCTTTCCTCACAGCTACATACAAGCCGGAATTCCCAGGAAAGCAATCCTTTCTCTACAACGAGGACAAGAAGTGGATCCCAGTGTTGTAGTGACCTCACATAAGCTCGGGGAGAACACTGGCCACCAGCTGCCCCACCCAGGTTCCCCAGGACGTTCATGCAGAGAACGCCTGTTTCGTGTGTGACAACTGATGACATGGGGGCAGCTCTACCACCCCAGCCTAGTGTTATGGCCTTGATCCTTGTCTTGAGCTGCCTCCTGGAGATTGGACACCACCCCTGCTGACTCCAGGGGTTTCCTGAGCAGAAATGAGGAGGGCACAGAGCCTCCCTTGGTTACTTCATCTTGCACCCATCCAGGCTGGCTTCTGCACCCCTCCTCTCAGACTTAAGGGACTCCTGAAGCTCAGACTCCAGGGAGAAGGCAGACAATGGCGGATGCCCGTCTAGAAGCCTGACACTCAGCTAGGGCTCTGGGGCCCAGAGAGTACCTGCAGGGCGAACAGCACAGGGCTGCGGCCCAGGCCTGCTCCCACCTCTGGCCTTGACTTCCAGACTCCTCCTGGAGTTCCTGGAGCCAGAAGGCCCAGAGGCGCTTGTGACAGAGACACGAAGGGGTTGCCTGGGCCCTTCCCCAGCTAAGCCTTCGTATCTCACCTTCAGGAAGAGCCTGGCAGCCAGTCACCATGGTCACTGTGCTCATTGCCCGCCTTCAGAGGCCGCCACGTCCGTGTATTGGCCCTGTGTTCAACAGCAGACATGGGCAGGACCGTGCTGAAGCCAGAGCCCTGGACACGGCTGTTCTGAGGGGCAGGGCGGCCCCGTGCTGGCAGGTGCTTACCTCCACCGGGGCTTTCTCCCTCCGGCCTGTCTCCATCCCTCCCCGACCTCCGGCTCAAGTGTAACACAATCTTTAATGGATCTTTTCTGGCCTGCCAGGTCGTTTCCTCTTAGCAAGAGGAAGAGATTCCCAAAGAACCAAGAGGAAATGGAAGTAACCACACATCTCCTCTTCCCCAAACATCGGTGTTGTCTGTCTCTTTTGTAATGGAAGGCTCTTGTGCAGTCTCCTCTCCCCTCTCCCCCGCATCCACATGGCCTCTCCCTTCCCCTCGGCTGCCTCCTGACTTTTCTCTGTGACACTTACATCCTGCGCCTTCCTGTCAGAACTGGCCGATGGGAGGGGTGGGTGAGGAAGAAGCAGGGAGAATGGAGTTACATATCCAATTAAACGGAATTCTCGCTTCTCACAAAAGCTGGCCTTTTTGTGAACCTCAGATTCCTGCAAGCGCCCGTTGCTTTGAGCTGGAGCACTGTGCGAAGAGCGAGGAAGTCTGGACCTAAAGGCAGAACGCTTCGTGCCTCCTTCCGTCCTCTCAGGTCCATAGCTTCTCCTCAAGGTTTAGAATTCAGGGGCTCAAGGTCAAGCACTTCCAGCGCCTGGGTGGGCAATGCGTGGAGCAAACAGGCAAGGCAGGGATGGGGATGCAGGAGCCCAGGCCACGCCCATCTCGAGGGACCTCCAGCATGGCTCCAGCTAACAGCTGCCAGGTCTGTGGATTCTTCAACAGAATCTGGGAGGCCTTTAAAATGTGAAATCTCTTGATTTGAGATGTTGACAACCATATTTCAATTTAAAATTTTTTGTTTGGGCTAGAGGACACTCTTCTGCAGGCCATTCGTTGTCCACTGCGTGCTAGAAGTTCTGGAAACTCTTTTTAAAGCTGACACTTGGAGCTGTACCTCTCTTTGGCCCCAGACTCTTGGTGGTGGGGCCAGATCCCAAGGCCTTGGTTTTTAGGTCCCTCTGGCCCTCGGGGGGCCACTGGGCTGGGAGTGGCTGGCTCTGGGGTCACTGTGGGCAGAGGCTGGGGGTGATGCATGGGAAAACAGAAAGGCCTCTCCTCCTCATGAGCAGCTGGGCTGAGCATCAGCAGTGAAGACTGTCTTTCCAGAAGGAGTCCCCTCTAAGGACCTCTAAGGGGTCAGGAAAGAGGGGACTCTGGGAAGAGACGGCAGGGCTGCCCTTGGCTCGTTGGAATCCATGTTCTGTGGAATACATGACGGGAGCTGAGGCGCTGAGCTCAGGTCTGTCTTGATTGTATCCAGTCTCTCTCAAGATGTCACAGGCCTCTCACAGCTCTGTCCTGCCCAGCGGTTCTCACGTCCCAGCTGTACATTGGGATCAGCTTGTGCGCTGTTACAGAGACAGCCTGCGCAGGCCCGGACCCTCAGAGTTCTCATTTAATTGATCTGAGGTGGGGTCTGGGCATCAGTGTCTTTATTAAAGTTCTCAGTGTGATTATGTGTCCTGTTAGGGTTAGGATACACTGATAGTTTAATAAAGTATTTTCCAAATTTTAACATGCATGCAGCTCACTTGGAGATGTCAAAAGGCAGAGTCTGTAGGTCTGGGGTGGGGTCTAAGGGTCTGCATTTCTGTTTCTTTTTTAAAAAATTGAGATATAATTGACATATAATGTTGTGTTAGTTTTGGGTATAAGCATTTCTAACAAGCTCTCAGACGATGCCGATGCTGCTGGTCCGTGGACCACACTTGGAGTAGCAGGGTCTCATAAGTGCACTAATTGCTGAACTCTTCATCTGGCCTTCGGGCTGCTTACTGACCTACTCATGCGTCCCCGCTCCCTCCTTTCTCCTTCCCTCCCTCACTTATTCATTCACTCTCGCTCTCCTGCTTTCCTCCTTCATCCCTTTCTCCCCTCATTCACTGCCGGGTCTACTAGGCACAGGCTGCCTGCAGGCAGGGGACGCCCTCTCCACCAGCCAGGAGCTGCCTGTGTGAAGTGACTCCCTGTTTGGAAGGGACTGACCATCACTCCTTCCACCTTTGTGGACTTTGGAGTGAAAGACAGTCCTGGATGACAGCTGTGGGGCTCAGGAGCGGCCCTCTCTCCTGCCCTTCTCTGAGGGCAGGCCTGACTCCTCCCGGCTTGCAGGGCTCTCCTGGACATCCAAATGGCCTTCTAGCGCAGTGACGGCTCTCTTGTCTTCACGTGGAGGGGAAGAGAAATGGGCCCTGGTGGCTTTGCGGGAGGCTGTGGGAGTATGGGGGCTCATTCTGGAGCGCTGCAGCGGGCGTGCCCGACACTGTAGCTCCTTGTGCGCATTAACCCAGCCAGATGCTGGCAGACCGGTGAGCCTTGGAGGCCTGCATAGCTACGGCCTCTTCAGAGCAGTGGTTCTGGACCTGGATTGCGCACTGTAATCACTTGGGGGCTTTAAAAAGTGCTGAGGCCTGGGTCCCACCCCCAGAAATTCTGATTTAATTCTCCAGGGTGGGTGGGGTCTGGGCAGCTGGGAGAGTGTGGGGTGACTCCGTGATTCCGGGATTCTGATATGCAGTCAAGGTTGAGACGCCTGCACCACCTTCCTGCTTCCCAGCCAGCTCTGGGGGAGGGAGCTGGCAGGAGGCTCAGGAGGCGGGAAATGAACAGATGCTGAGCGCCTCTGGTGGGCCTGGCGGTGTGCCGGTACCCTGCACCTGCTCCATCCTTTCATCCTCACACATCCCCCTGAGCTGACATCTGATGTCATGGTGGCGGTGTGGCCTGGAGGAGGCAGAGCAACTCTGGGTGCTCCACGGGTCCCTCGAGCAGTGCCAGGCAAGCCATGTGGGAGCCTGAGGCCAAGGAAACTTCAGTAATACTGATCCTGGCTTCAAAGTTTTGGTATTTTGTTCCTCATGGATTTTTTTTACCTTAATTTTAAAAAAAACATTGCATTGAACTATGATTTATCTTGATTGCCGAGCTCTTTGGCTTCCCCTAACTTTTGCACCTGGGCTAGCGTCTCCAGGCGGGGCCTTGGGAAACGGGAGCCTAGACTCTGACTGGCAGAGCTGGGAGACCCTGAGAGACATCCGTGGTTTTCAAACTTTTAAAAAAATTTTGTTCAGACAAAAGTTTACGAGAAACCCTAAAATTAAGTGAAGAAAAGCAGAGCTGCCAGGATTGAAGTCCGGGAGGATACTCAGGGGCTGCCTGCTGTCCCCTCCCCAACCTCGAGGTGGCCTTTGAGACCTGCCAGTGAACTCCGGGGCCCTAAGGGTGAGAGTTACAAACGACCCATGTAGACCATGCTCCTCAGTTTATGGCCGCAGAAACCAAAGCCTAGAGGTGGTGGCGTGCTCCTAAGCTGGGGAAGGAAGAAAGGGGTGTGGGGAGGGAGGGAGGGAGGGACAAAGGAAGGAAGGAGGGGAAGGAGGGAGGGAGGCAGGCGTGATTTGTGATTTGTTCTCCAGGGGAAATAAGACCTTGACTTGTAGCATTTGTCAATTCCCCTGGTGTAAATACTTCCCCACCAGCGCACCAACACGATGTCACTGACCACAGAGTTGGGAAGAGATGGGCACAGTCACCTGTGTGAGCCGGTAGGAGCCGGCTACAGGGAAAGTGACTCAGCTGAGTGTGGGGGCAGAGCTGACACAAGAACTCAGGTCACGTGGTTCCCAGCCCCGGGCTCTGCCCCCTGGCCCCAGCTGTGGGGTCCTCAGCAAGGTCATCCTGGACCCTTCCCAGGACTTCTTCATCTCCAGTCAGCGATCCTAAAGTCATAGCACTCAGCCTGTGGGACTGCACAGAACAGAGATCTGAACATCAGGTTCCTGCTGCCTGCCAGGCGGGCACCTCTGCTTCACCAGTGCCCAGCACTTACCATCGTCCTTCACATCCCGGGTGCACCGCTCACGGGATAGAGAGGAGAGAGGCCTGGTCTACTTTCACCCTCTCTCCCTGGAAGATTTTCACAAAAGACTTTCACAAGTGTAGCATCTGAAGTAATACATAGGTGGGATTTTATTACTAAATACCATATGTGTATATAAAATGCATAATTGAATAACACCTAAAAAAAATAGTCCAAGAAATGTGAAATACACATTTTTTGAAATGATAAAAATGTATCCATGAAAAATATAAAATGTGGCATATATATACAATATATACTTATATATATATATATAACATAAATGAAAATTGTAAATAAGAAATGTATACAACAGGGAGCAGGCATGACGGTCAATTTACACAGCGGCCACTTCGTTCTAGTGGATCAGCTCCATTATTTCCATCTTGCACGGAAGAAGTCTGTGAGGAAGAGTGTTTCCACTAGAGTGTCCAAGTTATTTGCACTGAAAATCAAGAGATTTCAAGTTAACTGACCAAAGGGCAAGAAACCATAGGTCTGAAGTCGATGGGAGAATCAGGAGTGGGGCCAGACAGCAGTCAAGCGGCGCTGAGAGAGAGGCTCTGCTTCCGCCGTCTGCCGGGGCAGCCGCAGGAGGTCGACTGCAGAGGGCGGTCTGCTGAGGAGGAAACAGCATGTTGGGTATGTGAACCGAGGTGACACCGTCTCTGGCCGGACGGGCACTGGCAGGAAGTTCAGGGAGCAGAGTCAAGCAAGAGGAGGAGGTTCGGATCAGGACACCTCCCAGGTCTGTCCCCGGCCCCGACATCCACAGGCTTGCGACTGGAGGGCCTCTTCCCTCAGGGAGGGCATTCAAGTAACGGCACTGAGGCGTGAGGAGAGGTTGTGTGTGGGGGGGCCGCTCCCCAGCTGGCTCCTTGCCTGGAGCCTACCCCCAGGGGTCTGAGGGGGTGCGCGCTGGCTCACTCGGGCCTTAGAGCTCCTTCAGGATGATCTGAATCTTCCCATCAAGCTCCCCCATGTCCAGCAGGAAGGCGACGTGGTTGCTGTAATGCTGAATGATGTTGTTGTCCATGTTGACCAGGATTCTGGAAGAGAAGAGGAGACGCGGCTAGAGTGTGGCAAGCCCCTGTTTTGGGCCCTCTGAGTGACAAGGATGATAGTAATGGTCACTACCTGCTGGGTGCCCACACATCTCAGGCAGCTCCCAGATTTTCTTGCCGACTCTCGTAACACCCTGCCAGGTGGGTGCTCCCCATCCTGCTCTACAGGGAAGGGCAGAGGCCCACGTGGTCGGGCCACAACTCAAACCCAGACCTGCTGGCTCCCGCACCCACCTACTGCACCAGATGGCCTCTCCTCACACACGAGGACGGACGCTTCTGAGCAACAGTACGGAGATCTGGGGGAGACGCAGTGCTCCCCAGTCGCCAGGCCAGGCTGAGGACTGGGACGTGGAGTGTGACTTCAAGTGCAGGAGGTGTGGTGGGAGGACCAGTGCGGTTTGGGTTCAGCAGGAGGCTGGGGCGTGTCACTCAGGGGCGCCTGGCCCTCTCGGCTCTGACTCCAGGAAGCTAGACCTCGGGGACGGTGCAATCGACTTGAGGGCCTGGGCTCGCTCTCCCCCCGTACTCTTCAGGTAAAGACCAGGGCCAACCGGAGAGGGACGGAGCCGCCCCAGCTGTGGCCCTCTGCAGGGGTCAAAGCCAGAGCGTGTGCCAAGGGCAGCCCTCGAAGGCAGCCTCCCTGAGGACAGACCCAGTGAGATGTGACCTGACCTGGCCACGTGGGTAGGATGGCCTTTGGAGTTGAGTATTTTCATCTATTCACCCCACCAGCATTTGCTGAGGCCTTTCCACACGCAGGGCCTTGCTCCAGCAAGAACAAGGGCCGTATAGAGATCCGACACCTGCCCTCCAGGGGTTCAGACTGGTAGGGACTGGCAGGACGAATCCTTACAACCATACGCCTCCAGGTCACAGATGGGGAAGCGGAGGCTCAAAGAATCCAAGCCACGTGCCTGGGGTCACACAGTTAGACGGCAGTGCTGGCATTTGAATCCAGCCTTTTGCCTCTTTTGACTGTATCACATTTTTTAGCAAGAAAAAGACAAACAAAAGCCCCTATAAATACAAGTTAGGAAGTGGCATAAATAAGGAAGGCAAAACCCAGGCCTGAGGGAGGGTTTGGATGAGGCGAGACAGTTTTAAGTCAGGAGGAGTTGGGGGGCTGAGAATCCCAGACCACTGAGGACCCCACCGGGGAGGCGGTGGCCTTGTCCCCTCATCGCCCAGGGAGGGAGGGGCAGTGGAGACGGTGGCGAGCCAAAGCAGCCGCAGCTTTAGGAAGGAGGCCTGGGTGCTGACGGCCAGCGTCTAATTACAGGATCCCGCCCCCTCGGCTCTGAGTGCACTTCCTTGGCGTCACACAGGGATCTTTGGGGGCTTCAGGCTGGGAACAGACCACAGGAGCCCAGGGCTGGGGCAGAGGGTGGGCGCTTTGTCGGCGTCGGGGTTTTTGTGTCTTTCACGTGGTGGCGTTACTGGGTGTTCCGAGGTGCCCGGCACTAGGCGAATGTCACACGCGCACCAACTTGCAGGCCGCCTCGCTCCACCCCCAGGCGTGGCCTTTCTGGGACCCAGCCCTGCCTACGCACAGGACCCCAGACAGGCCCAGGGAGTCCCTCCCTCAGAGGTCAGTGACAACCAGGCCCTAGAGGCAGGGGCCTGTCAGGAACCCCTGTCCCAGAATGTGGGCCTCTTGTCACTCGCCAGCTTCTCGCTGTCTTCTGTCCTGGTTCGCATGACACCCCTGGCACGCGGCCAGTGAAAACAATGTCTTTGTTAATCTTTCAAGCACTCAGTGGTGCTTGGAAAGCTGATTGTATCTACCTTTGTCCACAGGAGGGTTCTGTGAAAATAAACTAGGCCACTGACGAGAACTTCCTGTGCCTCAGATGAGGGGAATCCGATGGAGGGAGGTGGCAAGGGAGTCTGGCCTCTCCTCTCCCAAAGGTTTTTTGGGGACCCTTCTCCTTTAGGCATTTCAGACACTCCTAGGCCTGAGGTTTTCCTGGTTGGGGGTGTGTATGGGGTGTGGGGTGCCTCTGAAGGGCCGCTGCGTGATGCCCTGGGCTACGAGGCTGCGTGATGCCCTGGGCTACGAGGCTGCGTGATGCCCTGGGCTATGAGGCTGGGCAAACACATCACCGGCCTGGCCACAGCCTTTATTTGCACATTGCTTAGCGGTTAGAGGAACAAGCAGGAGGCAAGATAAAATAGTGGGTACACGCACAGGCTTTAGACAGGCCAGGGCTCCTTCTGCCAATTACTAACTCTGTGACCCTGGGACTACTCTGAACCTCAGTTTCCTCATCTGTAGAAATGGAGATAATTGTTCCAAACTCAAATGAGATGAGATGATGCCTGGGAGTTATTTAGCTCAGTGCCTGGCATGTAGGAAGTGCTCACAAATGGAAGTTATTATAATTATGTTTTAAACAGCTGGCTTGGGCTTAAGGGAGCGATTTGCAATTCTACCAGTGGGGCAGGCTTATATGCAGGCCCCCCTCCCCAGCCAAATCATACACGAGGCACTCCCACCCCCTGAGCCCAGCCCGTGGGGGGGGTCCGTAAGGGAGGCCGGCTGCAGGTGGGGCTGCAGCTAGGGGCGTGGGCACCGGCACCCAAGGGGAAGTGGGGCTGGGCTTGTCTGGGCAAAGCAGAGCCTGCCCTCCGCTATGAGGTGGATTCCGCTCCAGAGAGCGTGTGAGCCCCAGTTTGAAACCGAAACTTGGAAGGAAAAAAACACACAAAAAACCCTAGACACTCATACAACCAAAACCAAACGGATCCTTTCCCAGGGGCTACAGGGCCGCGTACCTCCCCTGCCCCACCCTTCTGTGAGAGGCTGGGTGGGAACCAGAGGAGGGAGGGAGGGAGGGAGGGAGGCAGGGCCGGGCTGTGAGGGAGGAGGCCGCCAGGGCTTGGCTGGAAGGGGCCTCAACCTGAGTATAAAACCTGCCTTACTTTGCAAAGTCTTCTAAAAAGGAAAGCGCAGACAGTAGCCACGGGGCAATGCCTGAGCACCTTCCAGGGGCAGCTAGAGAGTGCAGCTGGAGCTCGACTGTCCAGAGCAGGAGGATGGGGTCTGGGCTGTGGGCAGGGGGGCTGGGGTGTTTCCCAGAGTCCTGGTCCTAGTCCTCTGGGCAGGGAACGGCAGTGACAATTCCTCACTGCCCAGGGCCCCGTGCTGGGCTGGTGAAGGGAACTGGTTAGCAAGGGCTGGAGGGGTGCAGCTCACTGGCTCTAACTAGGGGACTGAAGCCTGGGAGGGCAGTCACCATGTGGCCCTCCGCCTCCCCACCCCCCACCAGCCAAGGGATCTCCTGGGCAGATAGAAAAGGTGCTGTGGTCCTCAGCACTAAGCCCCAGGAGCCCACAGTAGGCTTAGGCGGCAGGCCCTGCCTGGCCCCCTGGAGGATAAAGCTTAACTCCCTCCTGCCTGGGCCAGACCTGCGGGTGGAGGAGGCCTGCGGCACATGCATGGCGGGGCTCCCTCAAACCGGCCAGTCATAACTCCCTTTTCAGACCCATCGCCACCCACTCCCCTTTAGGCCCCCTGACTCAGCCAGAAGCATCGTTGCTGGGCTCTGCCTCTGTGCCTTTACTCTGCTGCTCCTGCCCCTGAACACTGCTTTTCACCCATGAGCCTCAGTTTCCCTATGTGTGAAGTGTAGGTAATGGTATCTACCTCTCGGTGTGGCTTAGGGTTAAATGAGATGTGCTTAGCCTGGTATCTGACACATAGTAGGTGGTCAAGTGAGTGTGAGTGACTAACGTCTTTATCATTATAATCAGATGACTTGGTTATCCAGTGGCCTTGGGACTTGAACCTGAGTCTTCTGCCATGGACCCCCTCCACCTGAGGAGGTCGTCTAGCAAGACCCTTCCATTGGTCTCCCACTCCTTTCCTTCCGGGTTGTGTCAATGTCTGGTCTCTGCTGGCGGCCCTGGCCTGTTGGGGGCTCTCCACCCAACTGCACATCCTCTCCATGAAGCCAAGGACAAACAGGGCTCAGCACGGAGCAGCAGGCCCCCGCAGGGCAGAGCCACCTGCAGGGAGCTCCCTGAGCCGCCGTGTTGGGGGCCGGGTGGGGGGAGCGGTCCTGGGCACTTACCCCCGCTTACACTTCTTGTAGACTTTGTAAATGTTCTCCTCCGGGAACCCATACTTCTCAGAGATCTGGAAGAGAATAGTAAAGGATTCACCGTCTGCTGCCAAAACCAGATCTGTACCTCTCTTTTATACCATGACTTCTTATTTCCTGATTATAAAGTTATATATATCTACACTGTGGCAAATACAATGACGAAAATTACAATCATCCCTAACGCTGCTTCCCAGAGATAAACCCCATTAATATCTGAGTGTATTCTTCCCCATCTTTTGGCCATGTGTATAGATTTTTTATATTCCACAGATAGTTTTATATAACTTTTTTACTTATCATCATATATTATAAATCTCCCCACATCACAACAGAATCTTGACAAGCAGTGTGCTTCATGGCTGTAAAACATCCCAAAGAACCCTGGCTGCAGGCAGACTCAGGTTGTGCCAGGGCTCAGGGTTCCCCATTCACCAGCTGCCGACTTTGTGCAAACGACTCGTGGCGACGGTAATAGTGCCTACCTCATAGGGTTGCTGGAAGAATTTAATGAATTGGTCCTCATGAAACACTTAGCACAGTTCCTGGCAAGTACTAAGACCTCAATAAATGGTCATGATTATTATTTAAGAAGTGGAGCAATGGGGATGCTCTTGCCTTGTTGTGAGGGGGGATAACCCAGACATTTCCCTCTTCTAGGCAGGAATTGATTCCACTTGATGGATGAGGATGCTGAGCCCGAAGAAGAAAAACCACATGCCCAAGGCCTAGCCTAGAACCCAGGCTTCCTGCTCATCACATCCCAGAACGGTGGTGCTTATTCTCCGGATGAGAAAACTGTAGCTCAGAGGCCTGTGAACGACCTGCCTGAGCTCCCACAGCCAGGGTCAGCCCGTTTTTCCCAGAACTCCTGACGTTTCCTCTGAGGCAGACAGATGGGGTCTGGTCCCAGCTCCACCACCTGGAGTGGCAGAACTCTGAACAAGTCGCCTTCTTTCACTGAGCCTCAGTTTCCTCATTTGTAAAATGGGTGGAAGAATGGGATGTACGCAGAGGGTGGCTCTGCACATGAACTGAGACGATGGGGTACAGGGCCCAGCCCAGTGCTGTCCCCAGGCGGGAGCTCACTCAAGTGTTGCTGTCTGCTGTCACTGACTGCCCTGAAGTGGCAGCAACCTCAGGCCGAGGGCTTCCGGCTGAGGTTTTCCTCTTTGGGCCTTTTAGGAAGAGGACCAGACTCAGCTCCTCGGTTATTCTCTGCCTTGACAGAGATCCCTCCAGGCAAGAAAACTCCTTAGACTATTTATCTGAATGGCAATGTGGCCAGAAGCTACCAGGAAGATCTCAAGTCAATCTAGGCAAGAATTTAGGAAATTTCTAACCACAGTAGTACAAAGACAGGATAGGCAGCCCATTAGGTAATGAGCTCTCCATTCCTGGAAGTATACAAGTTAGGAGCGGGCAGCCACTTGGAAGAGCTACTGGGGAGAGAGCTCAAGCACCAGATGGGGAGCTAACCTTTTAAGGTACTGTCCAACCCAAAGATTCTCAGTCTATATTCAAGTGACATAAACGCCTTTGTGAGTCCAACTTCCTGGGGCTGGTGCCAAGCAGGGCTGATGAGATGTGAAGAGAACAGGATAGCATAGCAGAGTGGAGAGAGCTCGGGCTGGAATCCCAGCTCTGTCACTTCCAGTAACCTTGGTAAGTCACCTGACCTCTGGGAGGCTGTTTCCCCACGGGAAATGAGGAGATAACAGTACCCACTTTTCAGGGTTGTTAGGAGAACATGATGAGCTAGCAAACGCGGCATGCCCGACAAAATGCCTGGCACATAGTGGGTCTTCAACAAAAGGTAGATGATATTATTTGATTCATTTTTCCCTTCCCCAGCCCAAGATCTTGGAATCATCTGGTTTTTCTGAGTCGCTTGGCTCGACCTTTAAGCCCAGCTGGCCCTGGTGGAGACTGTTTGCTCAGAGTTTAGTGGAGCCCAGAGCTGCTGTGGGTTTTGTTCAGGGCTGTTTCACCCGCTCTCTGGTGGTTTGGGGGGTTGGGGAAGGTCTCCTTGCCGCCCCAGCCAGTGCCCCCCAGCCAACCACAGGCTGGAGGAATGAGGCCCCCTGGGAAAGAAAAAAGAGTGTCTCTGGGGCCTGGCCTTTTTGGGTTTCATTCCCATTAAAACAGAAACAGGTTTGCAAAGCCAACAAAAAACTGGGCTGTCAGACAGCAGCCATCAGATTAAGGAGGATTTATGGCGTGAGTGACTCCCAGGGTGGAGCCAGGGTTCCGCTGGGGGAGATAACATCACAGAGGCACACCCCCAACAGCCGAGCCTGCAGGCCCCCCGAGATGGGGTGGGACAGGTGGGCCACCAGAGAGCCAAGGTTCCAGTATGTTCCTTCCCAGAGGCTTCCTGTGGGAAATCAGAACTGTGTGGTGAAGACTGAGGGGACAGGAGTGCGAGAGGGGGCTCTGGTCAGGGCAGGCGGGGCCCCACGGCCTCTTACCGCATTCCTCAGCCCCTTCAGGTCCGGAGTCTTCAACATGAGGGCATCGAACACCTCCTCAGTCTCCCTGCGCACGTACAGCAGAACTGAGAAACAGAGGCGGCGTTAGTGGGCCGAGGGGGATAAATGAACCCGGGAATAGCTCAGGGGACCGGGCAATCTTAAAAATATTGTCTTCAGTGTAAGATTGATTTCTGCAGAAAGGGCAAATCCTGGCTGAGGGTCTGCACCCAGCTGGGAAACACTCTACTCGCTCAGACTGGGCGGATCCTGGCGGGTTTGAGTCCCCCTGGCTGTGTGACCTCGAAGAAGTCATTTTAACATCACTGAGCCTCGCTTTATCAATATGGAAAATGGAGGCGGCTCCACTCCCGACTTCAGAGTTGTGAGAACTAATGACATGACGTTGGGAAACACCAAGTGTGGTGCAAGGCTCAAGTCAAGACTGCTGGAAGCTTTTGATCTTAGCTGTTGGTTGGTTTCTTCCTGATGGCCAGCTATAGCCCCCAGCAGTTTGGGCATGTCCCCCAGGCATTCACAGATTTGAGTGCCAAAGCCAGAAAGCCAGGTATGGAAACCCCCCCCCCACTCCCACCCCCATGAGAGAAAGCAGCTTGGGGGGGAACTTGCCCAACTTAATGAGCTTGTAGCCTTTACCAGCTGCCCCAGGATGCCCTGTCCAGCAAGGCCAGGCAAGACAGAAGCCCTCTCGCTCCATGGCTGTCTCCCTGGCACCCTGGTCACCCTCCTTACCCACACCCCACTTTGAGTCTTGGCCCAACCCAAGCTCCGAGGAGGAGGGCAGCCCTCATGCTCTCCCCGCTGGGTGGGTGCTGCCCTGGCTGCTGGGGCTGGATTGGTGTTCGAGGTGTTGGGGAAGGCCTCCTGGGGGCTGGGGGCTGGCGGTGGGCTCAGAGAACAGAAGAGGCGGGAGAGAGTACCTCTCTGCAGATCGTCTTCCTTGGCCTGTTTGGAGGGCAGAGGCTCAAACTCCTCGGTGAAGGGCGAGCAGGTGCGCTTCAGGGGCAGCCTGCAGGGGCAGGAGGGAGGGCTCGTGAGGAAGCCAGGGGCACCTCAGGGTCGAAGGGGCCCCAGCGGGGGAGAAGACCCCATAAGGGCTGGCATCAAGCAGTGGGACAGCGGTTAAAGGAACAGATTCTGGAGTTAGACTACCTGGGTTCAAATCCCAGCCCTGCCACTCCCTGCGTGACTCAAGGTGAGTCCCTTAGTCTCTCTGTGTCCCCATCTATAAAATGGGGTGGCAATAAAGTAATAATAACAATACTTCCTAAAGTCTGAGGCTGAAGAAGATAATGCATACTACTCTTAGAACAGTGTGTGATGCACAATAGAGCCTCAATAAATGTGGACTATTATTTCATCATCAATGTTATTCTCTTTTTTTTGGTGAGGAAGATTTGTCCTAAGCTAACATCTGTTGCAAATCTTCCTCTATTTTGTATGTGGGATGACTCCACAGCATGGCTGATGAGTGGCATAGGTCTGTGCCCAAGATCCAAACCTACAAACCCAGCCACTGAAATGGAGCATGTGGAACTTGAACCACTCGGCCACGGGGCTGGCCCCAACATTATTCTTTTCTGAAAGAATCAGGTAGGATGTGAGTCAGTGGGAGAAGGAAGGGCTGTGTGATTTGGAGTAGGCATTTTAGTTCCAGCCCACCTCTGCTCCTTAATAGCCGTGTAACCTTGGGCAAGTCACTTCACTTCTCTGAGCCTCAGTTTCCTCATCCATAAAGTAGAGCAATAACCCCTGCTTGCCTGACTCACTGGGGCTGTTGCGAGGTGCTAAGTGACATAATTTGGTGTGAAGCAGCTTATGAAAAGGACCTCTTGTTTACAGGGAAGAGACTGATATCAACTACAAATGATTCATAAAGTGCTTTCCCATTTACAAAGATTCCATTTACACGCCGCCCTCATATCTGCCTCATGCCCAGGAGGCCATTCTCATCAGACAGGCTTCTAGGCTGAGGCCAAGAGAGGTGAAGGGACTGTGGCTGAGAGAGGGAAGGGTGTCAAGGCCCTACCTGGGCTGAAGGGCCAAGGGTGCCCCCCCAGAGTCTGGCGGGTGTGCTGGGGGAGGAGGGGGTTGACCCCCTCAGTTCTCCAGCACAGCCTCCCCTCCTCACTCCCCGAACCTGCACCACCATCTCAGAGGCTTTTTCTTTCCCTTTTTACAAGCAGGTGTCTCGCCAGAGATTCGCCAACTTTTCACATAAAACAAACCCATAAAAACGCAGGCAGTTTCAGGGAGAAAGGAGTGTGACTCTAGCTTGGGGGTTGGGGCAGCGCCTCCCGGCTGCTTCCTGTGGGCCCAGCCTCTGGCTTGGGGGGCCACAGAGGCAGGGCAGCGGGGGCAGCACGGGCAGTGAAAGGGGGACAGCGGGGAGGCAAGGCCCGCGGCTGCTTCTCTCCGTACCTGTTGGAGCTGCCAGGTCCTGCCGAGGGCACTGCCTGCAAGAAGACAAAGGATATTTTCCATCACAGGCAGGAAGGAGGGGCTGGAGCCTTTCTGGAAGGGACAGTCTTTGGGGGAGGAAGGAGAAGAACGGAGTTTCAATGCCTTTCCAGCCCATGCTGCTCAGATAACTCCCCTAAAGTGAGCTGAGATCTTGAGTCGAAAGGAAACATCCAGCCCAAGCCGGCTGAGTCAGGGATGTGCTAAAGGAATGCTGGCAGAATCACTGAGTCCCACGGGGCCCCAGCACACCCAGCGCGGGGACTGCAGACTGTCTGCGGCTGGCAACCAGGTGGTCAGAGCCGAGGCAGCAGGGGGCGAGGGGAAGAGGCGGTGCTCTTTGAACCCTCCTGTGTGCCTGGCACCGCGCTGTCTGGTGCCATCATCGCCAGGCCCACGAGCTGAGGCCCGGAGAGGGCAGAGAGGCTCCTAGGGTAACATCCCAGGCAGGAGGCAGAGTCAGGATGCAGACTCTGGCTCTCTGCTCTTTCTGCTTCCCGGGTGTCCCCTCGCTCAGGCTCACAGGTGCAAGGACTGGTCCCCACACTTCCCTCCACAGAATAGCCATCAACCTGGCCACAGGGCCTTAATCCCGAGTGGTCATCTCCCTCCTTGGGGCCTCTGGTTGGGGAAAAAGAGCAGGTTAATGCAGCTGCCGGTGCTATGGAGGCCACAGCACTGCTTCCGGGGCAGTGAAGGGAGGATGGTGGACATGCAGAGGACTTGACACGTGTGCCAAGGGTGACATCAGTACTGGCTGCTCTTTTAGCTCCATCACTTATCTTGTTCCAAGTCTTATAAACCAAGGGCGACCTCTGCAGACATTCCCACCTAAACAGTAGTGAGCTATGACCTCTACTATGGAAGTAAACTAGTAGACAGGCTCTGGGATCTGGATTCTGCCAATGACTTGCGTGACCTTGTCTGAAAAGTGGGAATTTTCATTGCGTCTCTACCCAAAAGGATGGCCGTGAGGGGGAAATGAGGCTCTGCAGCAAAGGGCTCGGCCTGGCACTCCTGGCACGTCCAAGGTGCTTGGTAAATGGCTCCCCGCTTGAGAGGTGGGGTACCTGGTGGTCACAGGCACTGTTTCTGAAGCCAGGCTGCCTGGCTCCAAATCCTAGCTCTGCCACTTCCTGTGTGATTGTGGGAGGTGTCTGCACCTCAACCCCACGGATGCAGGGAGGATCACATTATCAACCGCATGGGGAGGCAGTGAGGGTCAGAGGAGGTGGCACCTAAAGCTTGGGGAGCGGCCCCTGGCACCCAGCGGGGGCTCACAGCGCAGTGGCAATGCGGTGATGGCCCACCCAGCGGTGGGCAGCTGCAGTCTAATTTGAGGCTCAGAGGTCAAACCTCCTCCGAGTGAGCTCCAAGCACGAACCTTCTGACGGTTATGAAGGCCGTTTCCTTATTAACATTCTTCTCTCCAGTAGAAAAGGCCACTGAAGTTATGTGACGCTACATACATTTTTTAATCCCCTGGGATTCAATAAAGGTATTTTCATTTTGATGTACAATATCAGAACCCATAACCTCTAAATTGGCCTGTAGTAGCTGAGTGGCAGGTTGCTCGCAGCCAGGCTGTGCTAAGGCATGTCCCTCCCAGGGGCCAAGACCCTCTCTTGGCCTAAGACCCTCACCCCTCCAGGGCGCTGCAGGCTGGAGAAGTGCACATTGGGGATGAACAGCACCGGTGGGGTCTCCAGGTCAGCCTCAGGCCGCAGGTAGGTGGTCTCATTGCCCCTGAAGCCGGACAGCAGGCAGCCCTTGATGCCTGATGGGAAAAGGAAGGCATTGTGCCCTGAGGTCCCTCCATTCATGCCCCCAACCTCTGACCTCTAGTCTTCTTCTCCCCTTCACCCCAACCCAGCCCAGCCTCGTCCCTGGCCAATCCCCACTGACCATTGTTGCTGGAGTCTGGGCACTTGACCTTCCTCCGGAACTGCTTCCGCTCATCGTCCCGCATCTTCCTTTCTGCTCCCTGCAGAGGAAAAGAGGAAGGGGGTCACCAAGGGTCTTGGGAGGGGCTGGCTGCTTTGCATCTTAAATATGGGCCAGGCTTCTGGTGCTGCTTTCTTCCCAGACTGAGACCAGGAAACGGGAAGGTACCAGTGCCCAGCCCAGCCTGGCCCAGCCTAGGCCACCCTGACTGAGGTCAGTATAGGCCATGAGAGAAACAGACAGAAAGACAGTTCTTCGGAGAAAAAGAGAGACATGGAGAGAGATTTATAGAGATCTAAAAGGAGAAAGAGATGAGAGACAGAAATACAGAGAAAGAAGAAAATATGCATCGAGACCAAGACAGACAAATGACAAGCACACGGAGACAGACATTCGGTGAGTAAGAAGCAGAGCGAAACACCCCCAGGATGGCTGGGAGGATGCACGGGCAGGGGCTGGCCCTTCTCCCCCCGGGGCCCAGCAGAGGGGCCGTCCACCCCAGCCACCTTGTCACAAAAGATCTTGATCTGGCAGACAGCGCGGTGCACCAGGCGCTCAGGGCTGGAGCCACAGTCATAGGTGTCGATCTGCAGGTTCAGGGGGACACCCTTCACCCCCTTCTGTGAGGAGAAGTCTGTGCTGAGGCAGTTGACGCCAATGAACACCTGGGGACAGACGGGAAAGCTGGATAAACAGCCTGCCCAGGTTGCCAGCCCTGCTGTTCCATAACCACCCCGTTTCGTGAGCTTACTGCATGCCTGGTGAGCACCCTCAACCTCACAACGCCCCCGGAAGCAAACATTAGCACTTCTCTTTTACAGATGGGGAAACTGATGCTCAGAGAGGTGTGGCAACTGTCCCAAGGCAACACAGGGAGTGTTGGTGGAAGCTGGGGTTTGAGCCCAGGCTCTTTGCCACTGGGCTATGCAGCTCCCCCTAGACAGTCAAGGGCAGCCCAGAGGATCGAGGCCCTGGGGTGGAGATCAGGGGTCCTTTAGGGGTTTAAAATCCAGAGCCTCCCTTTTCTGCAACTGAGAGTGAGGAGGTAGAGAAGAGCTGAAGAGAGGAGGAAGAGAAGAGGAGGGCCTCGGCCCTGCTTCGGAAGACCACTTCCTGCTGGCCCCGGGCCACAGAGGGTGAAACCCTACGCCTCTGCACCACCAACCCCAGCCCCAGCCATCGCTGGGCCAGTCACCCCCATTTCCAGCCAAGGAAATGGAGATTCTGAGCAGGGACGAGACTTGCTAACATTTCCCCAGGGAAGTCAGGCAGTGGGGCATAGCAGAACGAGGCTGGAAGTGGGCCGCCATACCTGGGGTGGGAAGATGGCAGCCTGGGGTCAGTCTCAGCTGGGCACTTCCTGGCAAGCTCACCTGGTGACTGTCTACCTGCCAACTCCTCCACGGGGTGTGAGGGCCAGACCCCACTCCAGGCTGGCCACTGTTCTTTGGGACATTTCCCTTGGAAGTGACCCTGACCTGAACAGGTGGGGGTGGGGCCTGAGCAGACCCCCATCCTTCCCCAGCTGTGGGGGTCAGGCCCTGGGGTGCATGCCAGACATACTTCCCCCTCAACCAGCTCAGCCATAGTGCAGCCCCCGCCTCCACTCCCCTCCTCCCCACCCCCCCAGCTCACACTTGAGAAAGACAGGAGCCTGGGGGCTTAAGAAGCTGTGGGAAAATCCCCACCGAAACCCACCTCTCCCTCTCCCTTCCCATGAAACTCCTTCCCCGCCTGCCTGCACTGGAGGCCCCAGCTCCTCCGCCAGCCCCCCTCCTCAACGCCTGAGTCTGTTTGAATAATAATAATCCCCAGCCTTTGTGCCTCCCTTTGTGTCTGCAGAGCCCCTTCACCTCCAGTTTCTCCAGGCAGGAGACAGGGATTAACTCCCCAGCCCGTCCAGGCCAGAAATGCCCTTGCCTTGAGTGGGATCCAACCCCCGTCTCATGGGGTAAGCCCAGTCCAGGGAGGGGAAGGGACAGGCCCAAGGCCACGCAGCTCCCCGACTCTCAGACTAGTGCCCTTTGCACCATTCCAGCTCTCCAAACGGAAAACCAAGACACAGAGAGGCCCAGAAGCACACCGGCAGGTTCCAGCCAGGCCTTAAGCACTCAACGGCTGCTGGTAGGAAAAAAATCACCAGAGGCTCCATTTCTGGGGCCTCTCTGCTAGGTCTGGCACTGTGCCCGGCTCTTAGACACACACGATCTCGTGGCATCTTCACCACAACCCTAGGAGGCAGATTACTGTCCCCTTCCTGTGGGCTTGGGAAGTGAAGTAACTGGGATTCCGGCCCTCATCCAGCAGGCTCCAAAGCATTTCTCCTGCAGCACTGTGCACTGGCTGCAAGTCAGGAAGGCTGGTGGCATCAGCAGCTTGCTGAGCAACCTTGCACAGAGCTCAGTTTTCCCATCTGGTAAATGGGTAGATTGGATTAACAACAGCCACCACGTACAGGCCAGGTGGTGCTCCACCTTTTATCTCTCTCACTCCATCCTCACGTCGACCTATCGGTCAGTACTATGATTACACCCCGCTTTTACAGCCAAGGCGCTGGTCCAAGGTCACAGAGCTGGGACGTGCGCCCGGCCTTCCTGGCTTCAGAGCCTGTCCTTCTCCACCACTCTCCATCCTGCCTCCTCCACTGGTGCCCTGGTTGGAGCAGCTGCTGCCTTCCTAGATGCAGGCGAGCCCTTTCCCCAGGACAGGGGCTTCTGGGCAGCCCAGCCCCCGCCAGCACTGACCTTGGCCTCCTCGTTGACATTCCACACGAAGGACAGTGCGTTATAGGCCACCTCCTCGATGTGCTGCACGGTGTTGAAGTTTTCTTTGCAGTCGGCTGAAAGCACAGGAGATCAGAAGCACAGTCAGGAGGGAAGGGATCTGGGGACACCGTGGGAGGAGGCACTGGGGAGCTGGGCCTCATTCTGGGGAGGCCTTGCATCCTCTCCCCTGAGGACCATGCTTCAGTCCTGGGAGGAAGCTGTTGTGTCCTGGGTTACGGATGGGAAACTGAGGGCCAGCCTGGGGAGCAGATTTGCCCAAACTGCAGAGGGGACTACTAACTCTGCCAACAAGGCCAGGGCCCTGGTCATTTTGGGGTGGAGGTTCTATTCTCACTGGGATTGTGATTTAGGAGATCTCCCAGCTAAAGCAGCAGCAGCAGTAGTAACAGTGGTAGTAACTAGCAGTAACACTAGCAGTACCAGTACCACTAACGTTGAACTACTAATATTGAATAAATGGTAGTACCACTCCACTTACTGAACATTTACAACACGGCAAGCCCTCAGTTAATCCTCACAACGATGCTATTAATATTCAGCTTACACATGACGAAGATGAAGCTCAGAGAAGTCTGGTCACATGCCCAGGGTCACACAGCTAATAAAAAGCAGAGCAAGGACTGGAGCTCAGCTTTGTCTGGCTCCTGACCCAGGCTCCCAACCACTTTGCTCTCTAGCTTCTCAGGGAAGTCACTGCATTGTCCCCATTTGTATCACGCTGTCTAGTATATGTGGTTCCACAGCGGGAACAGCACACTGGGCAGGCAAGCAACCAGCCTCATTCCATTTGACAGTTGAAAACAACGGGGCCCAGGAAGGGGAGGTGACACAGGTCAGACAGCCAGGAAGAGAATGAAGGAGCCAGAACCTGGAGACCTGAGGATGGCTGTGCCTCCCACCCATCTCAGGGCCCGGGACAGCGACGAGGTGGCACACACAGAGGGCCATCCCTTGCCCCTACCTGCTGACAGAGTCGAGGGCCCAGCTCCTGGAGCAGGACCGCCCTGCACGGGGCTTCAGTGCTGCCTGCACTATTATCTCAATCGGCCAAACCCCCTCATGCGGACAGGCAGGCGAGCGTCCCAGGGGTCTATTTAGCCAACACTGCTGGCGTCCCAGGGCCCTGTTTATCCCAAAGCAGCACAGAAAAGAGGCCGCTGCTACCAGCCAACAGATGCAAATCCCTGCAAACCCACAGTGCACGACCTGGAGACAGGGGCCAGGTGGGCAGCTGGGGTCAGAACTAAGTCCTGCAGGGGTCAGAGAGAGCTGGGACAAGGGGGCACAGCAAGGGAAGCCTGATGGTGGCGGGGGGGTGCTCACGCATCTGCGTGTGTGTGCACATGTGTGTATGCACATGTGTGTGTGTGACAGAGAGACAGAGCACAAGAGAGAGAGACAGGGACGGGGGCTCGGGCGGGCACTCACCCACGTCGATGACGCGCTGCTTGGCGGTGGGCTGCCGGGAATGCCAGTGCTTCCAGAACCGCAGCTGCTCTACCGGGACCTTCTCATTGTCGAAGACGACCATCACCACACTCTGCGGGCACAGCAGTCACTGTGACCCCCAGCCTCGGGAGAGGCCCAGGCAGTCGTGGCCCCTTCCCAAAGCCTGGGTCCAGTGGCCCTGCCCTTTTGCCTCAGTTTCCCCCGCTACATGGCAATGGGCAGCTATCCAATAGCACTCTCTCCCTGGGGTCCCCGGCAGGCAGGGCCGTTCCAACCCCCCACCCCTCCCCCAGCTGCTCCAGGGCCAGCGTACCTTGACTTTGTTGGAGGACAAGGCAAGGCCTTGGCTGCCCGCGGGGGTGCGCAGGGTGACGGGGTAGAACTGGCCCTTGTTCAGGTAGGCCATGGGCGATTCGCCCGACTTGATGTGGATGGCTTTGGGGGAGCCCAGCGTGTATTCAAAGTCACTGCGGAGGCCGGGGGAGGACAGTGAGGCTGGGCTCCTGGGCAGGAGCGCCCCAGTGGGCGGCAGGGCAGGAAGCCTGAGGCTCTGCTATGGACTTGCTGCGGGACCCCAGTAAGTCACTCTACTTCCCTGGCCTCAGTTCCCACATTTTCAGAGTTTCTAGTTAATGGCTTTGTTGAGCCACAGTCCCGTGAAATAACGAATAATGGCAACCAGAGAGACCCCTGAGGGGTGACAAAGCCACAGGGGAGCCTAAGGGCAACAGAACCTCAGCTTCCTAAGAGCGTGCTGAGCTCTGAGCTTCCTGAGATCCAGGAGAGGGATGTGGAAACCCTCCTCGCGCCTTGCATATGCCCTCACTCCCCCGTCATCCGCTGGTGATGCCTGCTCTGGGGACAGTGTGAGGCTCTCACTGCAGCCTGCTGCCCACTGCCCAGGTGGCCAAGGGTCCAGAGGGGCTGAGTTACCTCTTGGGGCTGGGATAGTCCTCTGGACACGGGGGTTCCGGGGATGTTTTCAGGATATCTGGGAAGAGCAGTGACTGCAGAGAAACACAATCCAGAGAGAATAAATGGCCACATTCAGGCTGCCGGGGCCTCAGCCCATGGTTGCTACATACAGCTGTGCATGTTGTACGGGGCACAACCTGGACAACAGTACAAGGCAGCCCTGCCTCAGCTCTAGGACTCTTTCTCCCATGGATTCCAAAGCTCTGACCTCCTCACTGTCTTTTCTCCTTCTGCACATGCGTGCACATATCCAGGGATGCTGTGAAGGGTACAGGGGTGGACCCTCACCTCTTGTGGGTCATCTTTGAAGGTGCTGTCAGGCTGCCAGCGCTGTGTGGGTGGCACCCCATGAATGCTCTCAAACAAGGAGTTGAGGGAGCCGTTATCATACACATCACTGGTGGGCAGCAGGTAGCTGTCCACAGAGCCAGCTTCCAGCTTGCTGGGGCCTGGGGGGAGGAGGGCTGCCTTGCCCAGGGTGGGCACGGCTCCCTCCAAGCTCATCAGGTTATTCTTCTTGAGCACGTCTGGGTACTCGGGGATTCCGGACACGTTCTCTGTCAGGAATTTCACGAGATGCGTGGGGCTCTCAAGGGGGGCGAGGTCCATCTCACATTCCATGCCATGGTGGTACCTGGGGGGAGAGGAGGGTGAGTGAGTGCCCCTTGGCTTCGGAGGGGCGAGGGGTCCTTGGCTGGGCTGGAGGGTGACCGTCGTACTGACACACTGACCTTCTTTAATCCAATGTGACCTTAGGTCCTCCCAACATGCAGAAAGCGAGACACTGGAGGGGGCCACTTTGTCACAGGGAGGAGCAGGGAGGGGAGGGTCAACAGTGGAATCAAGTACAGGTTTAGGGTTGAGGGAAAAGAATGTCTGCTTCACCCTTTCTACTACTTAGTAACGTAAAAACCTGAAAGGTATGTATTTCTTACCCAGCCGCATGGAGTCATTCACGGGTGTGGGGGGTAGTGAGGATGTGTGAGTACAGTCAATACATGTTGAGAAAAAGGGCCGGAAGGATATACCCCAAACAGTTAAGGGGGAGTAGGGAAATAGGATTACAGGAAACTTTTACTTTTTACTTTATACCTTTCTATGGAATTTGAATATTTAATAACAAACAGGGATTACTTTTGTAATCAGAAAAGCGAACAACATTTTAAAAAATTAGTTTTGAGGGGCTGGCCCCGTGGCAGAGTGGTTAAGTTCGCGTACTCTGCTGCAGGTGGCCCAGTGTTTCATTGGTTCGAATCCTGGGCACAAACATGGCACTGCTCATCAAACCATGCTGAGGCAGCGTCCCACATGCCACAACTAGAAGGACCCACAATAAGAATATACAACTATGTACTGGGGGGCTTTGGGGAGAAAAAGGAAAAAAATAAAATCTAAAAAAAAAAAAAAAATTAGTTTTGAGGAAAGTCCCTTGCACCAAAACCCACTGTGCCCAGCAAGGCGGGGGGCCCTGAGCCAGCGGCCAGCCATAGTGCCTGCTGCAGCGGTTCGGATTTTTCCGGAAGGCAGAGAGGTGCGCAGGAGGCTTCCCAGCACAGGCCCTACATGGGGGGAAGGAAAAAGCGGAGAAAGAGGCGCAGGGTCCTTCCACGCCCTTCTGGCCATGAGCATGGCCTGGCTGCTTTCTACATGGAAGGAACATCAGTGCCCCGAGGCTCTAATGCCAGGCAGAGGCCCAGAGAGCCAGGGTTGGAAAGAAGTCCTGGAACCCAGGTGTCCCCTCCCTCAGCCCAGGGCTCCCTGCCCTGAGGCCGCAGGGAGGAGGGTTTTGGAACTGGGACAGAAAAGCTGCCTTCAGGGCTTTTCTTCACTAGGGCTATGGCTTTGAAGTCTGTTTTCAGTAAACCCCAGCCCACAGGGCCTGCAGGCATGGGGGTGGGGGTGGGAGGTCTGCGTGTATGTCTGTGCATGTGTGTGCGCGCGCGCATGCGTGCACATGTGTTCAAGCAGGGTCTCGTTATGACTTTGTGGGCCTGGGCCTGAGGTCTCTTTTGCCATCACAGGCCCCTTCCTTCACAAAAAATATTTAAAAATACTTTTTATAATTACATTGGTATAAAGACAAATGTAATCCAGGTTGGATTATATTAATTGTTTTCTTCTGCTTTTAAAATAAATGAAAATACTTTTGTGGGCCCCTAAGAGTACTGTGGGCCCTAGGCCCCGTGCCTCCTGTGCCCCAGGTGGAGGGGGAGGGGCAGGTGGGGGAGGGGCAGGGGGGCGGCGATGGTGGCGTTGGCGAGCCTCACCTCTTTCCCTGGTCGTTCCGGCCCCCAGTGCTGGAGGACAGTATCCGCTTCTCCTTGGGGCCCTGAGAAGAGAGGAAGGAAGGATTTATGCATGGCTCTTGGGCAAGATCTGGCTGTTGGGAGCCTCAACCCCCTCCTGCAGACTTGGCTAGGCAGGAGAGCTATCTTGGTCACTGGGAAAAAATCTGCCAGTCCTTCCAGTCGGCAGGAGCTCTGGCCATCATTTAGTCTGAGCCCCAGGTTAGAGAGTGGGAAGGGGTGACCAAGGATTAGCATTAGGAATCGTGGAATTTGGAGTCAGGCAGGACTGGCTTAAGTCCTGGCTTTACCATTTAAAAGCGCCGTGTGACTCTGGATAAATGACTGCACCTTTCTGAGACTCAGGTTCTTCATATGTCGAGTGGAGAATTATAACACCTCCTTCAAGGGAATTATGGAGATTTACAAATAACAATAATGCTTGCTGGTTTTTAATAGAGTGCTTCCTATGCACTAGGCCCTACGCTAAGTGTCTTCTAGGTGTTCTCTCATTTAATCCCTACCACCACTGTGATAGCTACTAACACTATCCCCACTAAATGGATGAGGAAACTGAGGCCTGGAGAGGCGCTGTTGTCTTAGTGGTTAGGAGCATGGACGCCGAATCCAGATTTCTTGGGTTCAGTTCCTAGATCTGCCACATACTAGCTGTGCAACCTTGGGCAAGTGGCTTAACCTCTCTGTACCTCATTGTCCCCCTCTGTATAACAGGGAAGATAATAGTAATACTAACCCCAGGGACTGTTGTGAGCACTCAGACCAGCACCCAGCACATGGAGAGCACTAGATGAGTGTTACTTTCATGATTATGATGATAATATTGTTGCATCTTGGAGCATCCAGGTCATTTCTCCCGAAGGCTAATAAAGCCAGGAGCAGGTCTCTGACCCAACCTTTTGATTCCACACCCGGGCTCTTAATCACACCCCACGGGAGAGCACAAGGAAGGCACCTGGCACGGTGCTCGGCATTCAGTAAGGAACAGTAAGTGGTCACCTTTAGGACTATATTGCCCAAAGCCGGATTGCCAGTTTGTGGCAGGATAGGTCTCAAGCCCCCAGCTTGGTGCTCTTTCCCCACCAGGAGACGTGTCCTTACTCACGGGGCTGCTCTGAATCCAGAGTGTTCTGGGACGGGGAGGGGAGGCAGGTGTGTCTCATCAAGACACTGTATTTCACTAAAAACGCTACGGGTGTCATCTTCAGAGCCTGTCCCCACCATCCGGGCCCCGGGAATGGCCTCTTGCCCAGGGGAGATGGCGCTGGACTTATTTTATGGCCCAACCTCAAGCTGTAAATTCGAGGCCGGAATTTAAACCCAGACCCAGGATTCTGGCTCCCACCACGTCCCCAGGCTGAGGCAGTCAATTCAAATTTCTTTTCCATTGGTGTGGGCCAAACGCTGTCAGGCCAGACAGCTCTCAGTCTGCTGGGGGGGCGGGAAGGCAAGGTGACCACACCACTCCAGGAGAAGAACCAAAGCCTGAGAAAGTCTGGACCCTTCTCGTGTCTGGGACCACTTCTCACCCTTTGCTTCTGAATTTACACAGACAGGCTGCCTTCCTCCTTGGGGTAAAGAAGACAAAATACTTCTTGGACCAGTAATTTGAGGGCTTACTTAGAAGCTGGCTTTCAGTCTTCAAGTTCAGAGCCAGTTATTTCAGCCACTGGCTGTGTATGTCCCCCATTCTCAAATCTGGGACGGTCTCTTGGAGCAATCACCCAGGCTGGGAGAGCAGGAAAGTCTGCCATCCGGAGACGGTTCCCACAGAGCAGTAGGGATACTGGAATACTGGGCTGAAAAGGAATCTGCGGCTCCAGCCCCTCAGCGAGAATGCAGGCAGGCATCACCGGCAATGTCTGGTGCAGGCACTGGAGGGTGTGGTGATGTCACCTGTGTCATGTATCGCTGAGTGCTGACTGGTTCAAGCCCACTTGTCAGTTAGGGGAGGGCCTAATTCCTGTTCTCAGGAACTGACGGTCTCCTAGAGTCAAGGCCAAGGCCCTGGAAACAATTGGACAATAGTAAAAGACTGTCAGGGGGTGTGACAACGCCTAGAAGGACAGCAAGGGTAGGAAGGACAGAAAGACACCTAGGAGAGGGAGAGGTGATGGCCTCCAGGAGAAGGCAGCCTTGGGAAGGGCCCTGAAGGAAGACAATGGGTTCAAGAGCAGAAGGCGTGTTTTGGGTGATGAGGTTGGGTTGGGCAAGTGGGGACGACAGGGCAACTAGGATGACATAAGGGGCAGGGGCAGAAAAAAGAGGCAGGTTGAGGGTGTTGCTGTGACGAGTGTGCGTGGCTGAGGCATCACTCTGTTTAATCAGCACGTACTGAGCACTGCGTGGCAGGCAGTATGGAGTGCTGCGGACTCCGTAATGATCATGACATGGTTCCTGCCCTCCAGGAGCTTGGTCTCATGGGGGAGATGGAGAAACAAATGCACAAATAGCAAGTTTCTAAAGACAGAGTCAAGAATAATGATGGTGGCCGTGGAGGGTGCCCAGACGAGGCACAGAATGGGAGACCCAAGAAAGCCTTCCCATCTCAATGAATGAATGAGGTGATGTTGAAGCTGAGACTGCAAACTGAGAGTAGAGTTTAGCCAGGGGAAAGGGGAGGGTGCCAGGCAGAGGGAATAGCATGTGCAAAGGCCCGGAGGTGAGAAAGAACATTTGGAGGGGCTGCAGGTGGTCATGGTGGGCTGCTGAGCCATGAGGCCTGAAAGTGAAAACACACATTCAGCCAGAGGGGCCACACCAGAGGTGCGAACGTACCATGTAGTAATCATAGAGGAAGCTCAGGGCCGCCACGCTGTCATCGTCCCCATTGACTCTCATCATGGCCTTCGTGGCGGCCGTCAAGGGGTTTTCCAGGTAGGTCTTCCAGGCCTCATCCTCGCTAGTGTAGGGGAACTTCTGGAAGTTGACTGGGTCGTTCTTCAGCAGCCGCACAGTCCTGAAACTGAAAGGCAAGTAAGGAAGGTCAGATCGAGGCTGTTCCAGAGGAAGGTCCATGACTGGTCAGCGTCAGGCCAATGCCCGGGAACTCAGAGGGTTACCAGCCTTGAAAACTTGAAACCGCTTCTTCTGCCACCATTTGGCAGCATGGCACAGTAGAATGTACCCAAACTCTGGAGCTAGAGGCTTTGGATCAATACCAAATGTTGCCATGTAGAAGCTGCAGACCTGGCCCTCAATTCCCTCATCTACGACATCAGAACCATAACCCAACCTTGCAAGGCTTCAGAGAGGCTTCAGTACAACACTTCCATGGTAGATACTTATTTGAGGGGCACTAGTGTAACAAGGATGGGAAACAATGACGAGCTGCAAAGAATACAATTTCCAGATAAGCCAGAATGTGTTCTTCTGAAGAAGTTCACCGCGAGACCGTGAAAGACACAGAAAGCTGGAGATCATGTCAAGTTAGAGAGAGAGAGAGAGTGTGGCCAGGGACAGAGAGAACCCGGGCGAGGAAGCCCGTAGGCTGAACCCGGTCTTGGGAAACGGCATAAATAAATAATATTTATTGTGGAGTGCCCCAGCAGCTGCTCAGATGCCAGGAACTGGACTGGAATGCTGCAGGGCACATGGAAGCAGGCAGAACCTAGGCACTGAACTGAGAACTTGGACAAATACAAGGCATGCGGCCCAAGAGACAAGCCACATGGGCTCAAAGGAAAGAGATCAGGAAAGGCTCTTTGGAGCAGACAGATATTTTAGCTGGGGACATTCAGCACTAGGGGCTGGACCACTTAGAAATGTTGGGGGAGGGGCACATGGATGGGAGCATAATACAGAGCAATGATGATGATCAAATAATCTCTAATCTTTACTGAGCGGTGACCATGTTTTAGGCTCTGAGCTAAGCATTTTTCATGGATTATCTCATTTAATTCTCACAACAACCCTGTAAGGCAGGTACTGTTACTCTTCCTATTTTACAAATGAGGAAACTGAAGCTCAGAGGAGTTCAGGGAGTTGCCCAGAGGGGATTCAAGCTGGAGCAGGATGATGCTGTAATACAGAATAATGTTCTCAAACTTTAGCTGCATCAGGATGACCTGGAAGGCTTGTGAAAACACAGATTTCTGGACCCCACCCCTAGACTTTCTGATTCAGTAGGTCTGGGGTGGCTGAGAATTTGCATTTCTAACAGGTTCCCTGGTAATGCTGATGCTGGTCATCTGGGGACCACACTTGGAGAATCACTGGTGTAGAACACGCTCTTAATCGTGAGCAAAGCATAGAGGTAGGAAAGTTCTGGTTGTGTTCATTTTAGAGCGAAGAGTGTGAGAGGAACAGCGGGAGGTGAGAAGATGGGGACGGCCAGGCTGGAAGAGAGCCCCAGAGATGAAGCGGGCACTGATTGCTCTCCTGGTGCCCTGATGGCCCCCTTTCTAGGTGAGCCTCACAGACTCTCTTATGTTAGGGACACAGGAACGCCAGCTGCCATTTACCATCATATATATGAATGCTTTCCATGCATGAGCTCTGCTCCCTACAAGACACTACAAGGCAAGGATCATTTGGTTCATTTTACAAAAAGAAACCTGAGACTTGGGGAGGATAAGAAAATGCCCGAGATCACCCAGCGAGTCCACAACACGACCAGGATTTAAACCCAGGCTTGTCTAGTACCAAAGCCCCACACTTTCCACTAAGCCACACTGCTTTCCCACAATGCAAGAGGGCAATCCTTACCATAACAGAACACTAGTGGCGGAGTTGCAGGCGCTGCGGAAGACGGGTGGGCGGGCGAGGACCTTCACAAATCATGCCGCAGGAACTGCCCTCCTGCTGCCCCGCAGCTCAGGCCTATTTTCTCAGACACAGAGTGGGAATGGCAGCCAGGCCGCACCCAGGCAGGCCATGGGCAGCAGCTCTCCCAGGGGCTTTATCCAGAGTGCAGGGTCTCCCATCCCACGGGGCCCCAGGGTATGGGGGGTTGGGCTCTAAGAGGGAGGGAGTGGGAGCTGTCACACAGGAAAGAGAAATGACAGAAACCTTCCTGCTCCAGGGGCGCAGAGAGGGAGGCACACCCCGAGTTTTTCTGCTGCTATAAATCAAGCGTCTCAAGATGGAGAGTTGAGAAGAGGCCCCTCCTGAGCGCCTCCTGGGCCCGGAGTTAGAGGCATTTACAGAGCTAGCCCAGGGTGGCTGCCCCACCCACTCCCAGCCCCGGGCTAAAGGGAACTCCCAAACCAAGGGAGCTTGGGGGAAACAGAAAGACCTGGCTCAGGTCGGTTGGGACCCCCAGTGCTTAGCACTGTTTCTTACTTGTAAAATGAGTCTAATAAAAGCACCCACCACATAGGGTTATGAAGATTGAGTGCATGGCCACATGAAAAATGCTTCAAACTGTTCCTGGCACTTAATATGTGCTTAATACACACGAGCCATTATTGTGCTCAGCTTGGAGCTAGACATCCAGGGGTTGCCAAGTGGTACAAGACACGATCACCCTGCAAGTCAGTGGCACATCTGGGCCTAGAGCCCCAATTTGCTGACTCGGATAAAATGACCACGATCAGCATTGATGAGCTATTGGTTCTCCTACCCTATTTACAAATGAAACTTTAGAAGAAAACGATAAAGTCTCATCAGACACAAAGGAGCAGACAGTGCTTGCTGTTCATCTAGGAGGCTTTTCTGGCCTGCCAGGGTCTCTAGTCCATGCTGTTGGGATCCCCAAATCCAATTCCTTGATACACAGGAGCTACCGTACCTGAAGCATTTACCACAGGCAGACACTGTGCCAGGTGTTTTTCTGCGTCATCTTGTCTATTCCTTACAATAGCCCTGAGAGGTAGGTATTGGGGAAACTGAGACTCAAACACATGATATTACCTGCTCAAGGTCACTCAGCTAGTAAGTGGCGGATGCTCAACTTGAACCTGGACCTGTTAGACTCCAAGATGCAGCTCTTAATCCCATATAGTTTCCTCTCTAGATGGCTTTCCTATTCTAGAAATTCCCCTCCTCTGAAACATATGGAACCATTCCTTCACTGCAAGACAGAAAGGGATTTCCTACCCACACAAGGCAGGAGGGACTGAGCTGGCAAGCGAGATGACTGGAAGAGTTTCTGGCTGAGAGTGGGAGCCCTCATGTCCCGGTCCCCCACGCCTGCTCATGCTACCAATCAACTTCGTGTTCCAAGACTAAGCATTTGGCTTCTAGGAAGTCTCGACTATGGATAACGTTAGCATTGACATATGTGCCAAATCCTGAAATGGCAGAACTTTTGGCTCCCTGTTCTCTTAAAGACTGGAATGGAAGGTTGAGGGCCCAGTAGGTGAGAGACATGAAAAGCGTTGCAAGGAGGAACGAGCCCTACTCATGGAGGACAGAGCAGGGACAAGGAGGGGAGACCGGGCAACTCCACCCTCTGTAGTCACCTTCCCCAGGGCCTCCACATACTCTCTGTTGATGTCGGGTCCAAGGCAGAGCTCTTCAGCTCTCAGAAGGTGAAAGGGGAATACGGGAGGAGGGGACAGGGACGGGTCCAGGGACAGGACGTGGCCCTAGGCAGACTTCTTACAGCCTTCTTACAGATCTCCATTTGGTGTAAGAACACAGAGCAGAACCGGAGCACCATGGGAGGAAGCAGCACCAGGGGCACAGCCTGACAGACCCAACAACTGTGTGGCATTGGGTAAGGTGTTTAGCCCCTCTGAGCCTGTTTCCTCATCTGTTAAATGGGTCTATTGAGTGTCTTCTGTGTGCCAGTCAGGGACTCTTCTAGGCACTGGGGAATCAGCCAAAAAAAGACAGATAAGGCTCTGCTCCCATGGAACTTACAGTCTAATTGGGGAAGACAGACCATAAACAAGTAGGTAAATGAGTTAATTTTAGTTAGCGATAAGTGCTGTGAAGACAATTAGAGCTCAGGCATGTGATGGAGTCACCAGGGCTGGCTACTTTAGAGTGGGGCGAATCTCATGGGTTGTTAGGAGAATTAAGTACATTAACCTAAGAAATGTGCTTAGCCTAGAGCCTGCCAGAGAATAATGGCTCAGTAAATAATAGCCATCATCGCCACCATCACCATCATCAGCATCTCAGAACTTTCAAATGAGAGTAAAGGGGAGACTCTGCCTGAGGTTCTTAAATTAATACTCTCCCCAAGCCTCCTGTCTGTGAACCAGGTTCTATGTCAAAAACAAGTGAGACAGTGTAATAACCTCTTGCCTTGACTTTCACATTTATTATCTTGTGGAGCCTCCCAAGATACATGAGGTGTTATTATCTCTATTTTATAGACCAGGAAATAGACAACAGAGACATTAGGTGACCCGTTCCAGGGGACTGGCCCAGAGAGCGACAAAGCCAGGCCTCCTGGGATCTAACTTCATGAGTAGTCACTTTTCCACCAACTACTAGTTTCCAAGAAGGCATGTAGAAGAGAGAAAAAAATAATCCAATAAATCTTAGTGGCATCCATTCATCTAACCATTCATCTCTCATTTTAACAAGTTTTTATCAAGTAACTACTATGTGCCAGGCCTTGTCCTAGGTGAATAGGACAAGGTCATCCCTGCTGTCACGGAGGTTGCATTTTAGTGACAGCAAGAGAAACGTGACCACAAAAAACAAACAGCTAATATCAGATAGGTAAGGAATGGGGAGGGACTGGATGCGGGTTGAGAAGAGGGGTGGAGGGGAAGAGGGAAATGGGTGGGGAGGACCATGGACCTTCCAGATGAGAGGAGAGGCAAGATCAAAGGCAGAAGCCTGGGACAGCTCCCAGAGCTTGGCCGCCTACTGTGTGCCAGGTGTGAACCAGATGCTTTGCATAAGCTGCCTTGTTTCCAGGAAGCCAGCCCCCTAAGGAGGAAACCTGAGTCTGAGATTTGATAATCCCTCCTATTTGCATAGCGTGTTATATTTTTCAACATGCTTCCCATACATTCGTCATCACCTCTGATCCTGCAATGCCTCTGTGAGGTAGGGAGGGAA